GATTCACCCATTTCGGCGCATGCGTATAGCTTTCATTCCGGAGGGAAAAATTTGAAGTTTGGACAAAACAGGTGTTGGAGTTGAAATATTTATTTCTGGCAATAATCAAGTTAAAATGGATGGCGAAGACCTGGACTGGACGACTGAGAATAAGCCAAGAGTGAGTTGAAGAACATTTCATTGTCTCATAATCTCACAAAGGGCACAGGAAAAGAAATTGTAGACTTTCTAATGGGGGGGGGGGTTTAGCCTGGGTACCATCCCCAGTAGTATATTCGCAAACTCTATAACTGGGTCTGGACTTGCACACATATAAAACGATTGGTCATGACGTCACGTAATGAGCTAGCCCGAGCAGCGGGGCTTCATTTGATTGGCTGAGCCTCAGAGGCGACGGCCAATGGCGCACCTGCATTATTCAAGTGATGTTTGTTGTTTTGTAAACACAGATCTTCGCGCGAGTGTTCCTTTTCTCGGTGCGTTCTTTTTTTTACCGGTAGGACGCCCAAAACATCACGAACGAAATTATTCAATGCATCTTTTTGCTCATTTTTGAGCGACGATATTCCGTCTAAATCGTCCAAAACGGACGTGATTGCGAGGTCAACATCAACCTCCGTGAGCTGAGCGGCTTGTGCGTCAGCCATGTTGATGATTTATCGCGGAAAGACTGACTACGGCTATATCATGTGCGCTTTAGCGTTCGGTTCGCCGTCGGACATGTTGATGATAAGGCGTTCGGACGTTCGAACGGACGCTAACGTCGCCGTTCGGACATCCGAACAGCCCTTACCTAATATGTACACACCCAAAAAAGGGCTTAGACGAGTAGGACCAATCAGCGCGCTCGTTCAAAATCTGAACGAATATTTAGACTCCAGACGCTACATATGTGTGCAAGTCCAGACCCAGTTATAGAGTTTGCGAATATACTACTGGGGATGGTACCCAGGCTAGGGGGGGTTACGATAATCTTCATATTACTAGATGTAACACTACTAACAGGTACTAGTAACCATAGATAACTGTAGTCTACAGGGTTCCTTTGGGATCCAGCACACAATTACAAAAGTTACAGCATTACATTATTCCAGATAGACATGTACTCTTCTCTACAGTTGTCCTTAACTTTAGTAAGTTTTTAAAAACTAGAGTTATGAAGCATGTAGATTCAACCTTTGGTGTTGTTCTGTGATATCTGTAGGAGGTGCGGACGGGTCGGCGGGCACGGGCAGCCCCAGCCTTCACACTGGACGACAACGCTGGTGGCATGGATGATGACGACATTGGCAATGACATTGGAGGGGGCAGCAGTGTAAGGGAAATATCTGCATCTATTAGATCATGCCTTGTTTATGCGGAATACCCCGTGTTGTATTTTATTTATGTCATACCCACCCAAGGAAACGCCCCTTTCAATGCAAAATGAGCAAATGCAAGTTGATGTCCCTAAACCCAAAAAATCAATTCTAAGGTCCGAATTCTGTATTCGAATTTTCGAAAGCGGCGCACGCCATTAGGGCAGAACGTGTTCTAATCATTCTATGGAAGCCATGGAGCCTGGGCCGTACCGGGCCGTACCGTTAAGTACGGCCCGGTCTGGAACCCGTTATCGAACGTTATCGCGGATATGATATAATTTACGGTACGGCCCGGGCTTCCATGGCTTCCATAGATCAATTCGAATGCGTTGTGCCCTAACCGCGTGTGCCGATTTGGAAAATTCAAATACAGAATCCAGAGGTTGGAATTGATGTTGTTGCATGTTAGGGTTTAGGGGAAACAACTTTTGGCTCATCTTCCATTGAAAGGCGCGTTTTCTTGGGTGGGTAATGGGTATGCCATAAATAAAGTACAACAGCCCCGGCCCTCCCGCGAGTCGGATCACGGTCGGGCCGATACGTCAGGCAATACAGAATACCCCGTGTTGTATTCTATATGTATACATAGCTGGTCAGAAGTATGACCAAGGACTGAGGAGATATGTATAGAGCATATACTACGTATTACTAGTAAGTATTAATGCTGACATATGTAGTATATACAACACAGTCATGAATGTGGTAGCCTCTAGACAGGTACATGTCAAGATCTTGATAAGCAAAGAGTAATACTCTGACTGCATGTGAGCTAGTCATGTGCTGTTGTTTGTTACAGGAATGTTGTGAGATCTGTACTAGTGTTGACAGGTAGACAATGTTGGTATTTCTTGTTGTCCCAGTCCCCAGGGCCGCCACGCCCCTCCCGGCGACAGGGTGGGTGGGCAGATGATACAGGCAAGGACAAGAAAAGGTAGGAGTGTGGGCAATCCTGGGGACAGGAAATGTTTCAGAGACCTTATCTCATCATTAAATCATCTCAATCAGACATTACTCCTACTTCTTGTAGTCTTTGTTCTATTCTATTCTATCCAATTCTACTCGTGGAAAAAAATGTTCTTTATTAATTTTCTAAGGGTGAAGTTTTTGGTTCTATATTTTGTTATATAGTTTGTTTTGGGTTTTATGTTATGTACAAAATGTATATTGACAGCATGCCTTTTTATTTGATTTGCCACTGTTTGATTTGTTTTTAAGGTTTTCTCTAGTTTAGATCAAACAGTATAGATGTTAATCTCAATAGATGTTTATCTTCTCTTTGCTACCTTTTCTTGTATCTGCTGTCTCCCTAAGTCATCCAACTCTCATCCAACATTTCTAATCTTCACAAATGTGTATCACAGCCAATGCAAAAGCCTCAACTGATGTATTCTGTTAATGTAGGATCAATGTACTTACTGTTGATTAAAAAAAAAGTTGATACAGTAAACTCTAAATTAAAACAAAAAACTGTATTTATGTAAGATTTCAAAATGTAATAAATCATCAACGTAACAAAGCTCAGCAACTCTTTGACCTGAATTGTAGTGAAGTAATACCAAGAATTTTCTTGTTTCAATCCTGACAGCAGCAATAGTCATAGATAATGTGGTAGAAACTGTTTTGTCTGTACCAGATAACTTCTGCTCAATAACTGTATAAGACATCAAGAAAATATAATGGCGATGGACTTCTATTGTACCAAAATATCTATTTTTTATAGCTAAACAACTAAAATTTAGCAGTCTGTCAAATGTTAGTAGAGTGGATGACTGTGGGTGACAGTAAGTTATATGTAGGTGATAGTACTAGTAACACCACTGATGCTGATAATAGCACTACTGTTTAACTGGTGATGGCTACACGTGATGTTCCTGTCCTGACTACCCTCCTCAACATCAACCTCGGCAGCTAGCCTTCCTGCACAGCTTTGGGCACCTTTCATGTAGAACTCTTTTTCTTTAGATAAAACTAGGCTGTACTTGCCATCTACTTCATTTAAAAGGAAAACTTTCAACAGCTCTGCTTCTGTTCATTTTTGCTTCTTCTGTCATCATCATTATCTAACACATGTAGCTGATAGCAAATTGACATTTGTATGTGTGAGAATAATCTCATAGTCATACACTTATTGTGTTAATACCAGTACCAGTAACAGTACCTTATCATATTAATGAATTTCTCTTTTTTGTGGGAATGCTTCATTTGTGGACCATGTAGACCAGAGTAAGTAGCAAGAATTGTTGTTGTCTTGTTTGTCAAGTCATGGTTACTTTTCCAAGAATGAGTCAAAGTGATCACAATTCTTCTGCATTTGAAATGACTTGATTGTTGTAGATGCTGTTACCGGTATTGCTTTACATGATCAACCTTACGGCTTAGAAACTGTTATTACAGATGCTGTAGAACTTGAATTCTTCAACTTGATTCATACTTATATGTTTTTAATCACATTATCATGAAGCTCCTCATGAGTATTAATTCCAGAAGAACTTTAAGTATAAAAATAAGTATCAGATAAGAGTAAGTATTGCAGATTTTAGGGGTCAATACAGTTATCATGTTCTGACTTCAAACACACGTACATTTTATTTCCATGTACATTTGTTTGAAATGTATAAAAATGTTTACCTCATTGAATTAGACTTCAAAGATAATCTGTCTAAAAAGAAGTCTGTTACAAGCTAATGAAAATATCTCCCATTTCTGAAATATCTGACTTGCTTTATATGTTACATTTTTCTATAGGGGGAAGAAATCAATGGATGATGCAGTAGAAGAGTACGTGTTACCATTGCATCCCTTCTCATTGCTGCCTCCTAGCAGTTAAGATGTGTATCACAGGCAGAATACTGTACAGTATACAGTATATGTGAAGTGGCAAATATATGGTGTATGAATGCAAGTAGATAGCAAAATAGGTAAAGTAGTGCCTGTTAAAATATTTAAGACTAAAAGAACAATGAATATGATATACATGTATGATTTTCCAATGGTAATTTGATAGAATAGGAAAATAGTTTAAGTAAATCTGGTATCGACATATTTACAAGCCGGTACTGTATGTTGGGAATGAACCTGGTAGCATCTTGGCCAGTTGTTACAATTAAATATATCTGTGAGGTGAGTTGAAAGAGATTATATTGATGAATTTTGATGAGCTGTACTAGTGCATATCTCTCTTTTAACTCAGAGATGGATTTCTCAGGATGATATCTGAAAGGTACAAAAATGTATGGCAAATTTCTCTCAGCACAGAATTGCCACCTAGCAGTTCAGTAGCACACTGCATTGCACCTCTTATCAACATCACTGTCACTGCTATTTTCTGAAACAGTACATTGAGATGTTTGGTAGTATCACAGTGGCAAGCTTGAATTAAAAAGACTGCATGGTTAGAATTTCCATGAAGGATACCTTAAGTTATAATGCATCATTCTCTCAACAAGTTGAAAGAATGTTCCGGTTTGAAGAAGAAACGTCACAGCCAAATGTCAGACCTATATTTCCAGGACTGCTCATCAGTAAAAGGTGTTAGAAGATTAAGTCATTATGGTAAAGTTTGTTGTGTCCTGTGGAGTTTAATTCAGTGTTTGATTAAAGTCATTTCTGTTGTTCCACCCCAGCGCCCGTCTGCGGTCCGACTCGCCACCACGGAGGGATGACTCTGATGAGGGTGAGCCCACTCATTACAGCAGTCCTGCCACTACTGTACTAATACTCTATATTCATGCACATCATATTCCATATTCTACTGCAGAAGGTCACAATATTACAGAACACTTCCATAGACTTTCAGGATATCTTGTATGTTAATGACATGCCATGTTGTAGAGGCACCAGCTTATGTAGTCAGCCTGTCTTAAAGTGTGCTGCTGGTACTCAAGTCTGAATGGCAATAACTAGGATGTTTTAGGGTACCCAGCATGTGTAATTACACCCAGGAGTAGAGCCACACCTCTTCTGTAAGCTGTAATTTAATTTGAGTTCTATTTGATGAAGAGGTACAGTATTTTTGTTGCTATTACAGAAAGTTTTTTTAGGAACTGTATAGTTTGGAATATTGTTGATACAGAGTAGGATGTGGGTGTAGAAAATCAGACAAGTGGGTCCACAGCATTAGTGAAAACTTCATTACCTTGTGTGATGACTTGGAAACATTCCTAGTTGATCTAGCAATGATCTCTAGTATATACTCTTATACATGCAGCTGATTTTATGCATTTCAGTTTAATACTACTTCTTCCAGGTTTGATCTTTGTATGAGAATACAGCTGCCAAGTGCAGAAGTGCAGGGTCGAAAAAAAAATTAGTTCCTTCAGTTTAATGAATCTTTCAACTTGTAAGGAGAAAAATCTGTTTGATTGTAGATTATTGCAATAGAGCCCTAGTATCAGGCATGTTTGAATTTTTTTCACATAATCAGTTAATCCTTAGCATGACTAGCAAGTAGCAACATGAGTACATTTGTAATTCTTTTGGGGTACATGTACACACTAGTGTTGGATAAGATGCAGTATCTAACCATTTGCATATTTGGTGTGCACAATGTTCTCAATTTGAAGGAAGAAGTGCTGGCCAGCTAAGCTGCATAAAACCAATCCCCCCATTCCCTAGTTAGTTCTATCTAGTGTTGGATGTTGATGTGATGATAGACAGACAGCCCACGTAGTTTGGGAGCCTAGCGCCATCAGTAATGCACAGAGGTGGGGGCTGCCATTGACCAAATGTCAGACAGTTGGACATGCATCCCCCATCTCCTGCCAAACACTTCTACTGTTATTTCATGGTAGACTTGAGGGGAGCTCACATCATGAACCCACTGTAGATGGGGGTCTCTTCACTTCCAGGCTCTGAAGCAGAACTAAGGAGACTTCTATTGGAGACGTGGTAGGCAGGCAATCCAATAGGTGGAATTAATTTGCAGATTCAGTAAGAAGGATAAAAGGGTCCTAAGGAGGTGTGAAATATGTGCAGTTAGATAATCAATATGGTGAGTTTTCCTCAGGGTACAATCAGAACAAGAACTTTTCTGTTCTAATTACGAGCATCAAAAGGAAATATTTTTTGGTATTGAAGACATCCTAACTTTTCATATTGACATGTTTGGAATGTATTTCACCCTGGGTCAAGGCTGTGTGCAGGGGACATTTTGGATTGTCCCATTATCACAGTGTTAGATAAAGGCTGCTATTTCCCACCATGGCCTCCGACATCTCCCTTTAATGTGAGTTATAAGCCTCATTTCTTTATGCATCATTTCATATCTTACCACCCAACTGACTGACCTGCTGACACCAGGAGATGTGACTGAGGTGCTGTAATGTGCAGACAGAACGGCTATGGTGTCATGGTGTCAGCCAGATATGGACCAAATGATTGCAGTAATCAAATTCCGAAGAACAGTTCGTCGTTCCATCTAGTCATTTTAGAAATTCCTTTCACCCTTAATCGGTAAACACAAGCTTTGGAAGAAAAAACTTGACAGGAAGCGCCACTCAAACTCAAAGTTGCTGATAACATTAAACCAGTTGATTGGTATGGCAGAAAATTCAGCACAATGGCTCTAATATTAATAATAGAAATATTTGAGTGAAAAGTACCGGGTAATAGCAGCCATGCAGTCCTTGACTCAGCACCAGCACAAATCTGAAAGCTGTAAATCTATGTTCTATGATTGATATCTGCCGTGTAATCAACAACTTTTCTGATGGACCTCCAGCTCAGTTTTGCTGGATTTTACAGCTTTGTTCATCTCCATGTAGTGTGAGCCATCTAACCATGTCACTGACTTCTTGACACCTGCTAATTTGATTTTGCAGCAGAAACTCAGAGTGTTTTATTCAAGAACCAGGCAGAGCCAGATGCACAGACTCACTCATGAATCCACATTGAGTTCAGCAGGCCACACTTAACATCAATTCATATCAACTTCATGCTCCCCTGAATCTATATTGATCTGTACAAGTTCAGCCATCCTCATTTATGGTATCTCCCTCCATTCCTCGCCATCTAGGCATTGTAAAGGTTAAGTGGACACGGTTCAAATTAAGTGCCAGTGGTGAATAATTCTCAGCCCGCTTGCCGGCACCATGTAGTGGCTTGTAATTACAAGGAAATGGGAGCAAGGCTGTATGTTTTAATAATGCTGCACTTGATGGTTGGATGGCGGGTGCATACCCAATCAGTGGTACAGAGAATGGGCAGGCAGGAGCCCCTTGTACTGATGGTCTATAATTCATTTCCACACATAGCTACCTGCACCTTTCATCTTTATAGGCGCTCTTGGAACTTCAGACGGTCGGGTAGAAATGGGGCTAATAGACAGGTGGTCTGCAGTGCTGTGACTGTGGAGGGAATGCCTGTCAGAAATACCCAAAGTGCCAGTTTTTTTGCAGGAACAATCTAACTGCCTCATCATACATGTGTTGGACAATATCATGAATATGGGAGCTGTTTTAACTCTAGTCATATGTTCAGGCTAAATAGTCATGCTTGTGAAATTTGTTTTGTAGGCACGTAGCAAAGTCAGGAATATACTCATTCATACACAGACTAGGTGTTCAATGTATGTTAGGTAGCATAATCATATAGAAAATACAGAAAATGTGTCAGCACTGCTGGCGAGCTGTAGCTCAAATTGAAGCAAAAACTCACAAAGGAAGGCAGTCATTTTTAGATACAACACTGCTGGTTACTGCTGGCGACATGTAGCTTTTTGCTCTAGGAGCTGTAAATAACAGCATTCTGTCAGGATCCTGGAGTCTGTGGGCTGTAATGTTTACAGTTAGCTGTTAATTTTGTATGGTCACCATCCAATTTGCACTAATAGGTTGCTGTGCCTGAGGCAGCCCAGGCACCTTGTTTCATTTCTCCAAACTGATTCTCTCCCCCATCTATTATGGTGTTTCAAGAAGTCATTATGGGGCTTGCTTTCCCGCAATTAAGAGGCACGGAGTTGGTTCCTGCTTGTCTTGTGGTTCCAAGGGAGTTAGCTGTGTGCACATTTACACATTTCACGCAAGAGTTGTAATGACTGTAAATGTCAAATCAAAAGTGTTTTTTTTGTCGGGAGCCTTGTACGCCCACTCTAACCCCACGTCAGGAGCCGGGTATCACTCATCACCAGAGTCCCAATTATGCTTCCCTAACCTTTTCTTTTATTCATTTGCCAGAATGCATAAAAAAGTTTTTTGGGCTGACATAAAAAGGAAAATAACCATTCTACGAGGCTGATGTGCTTTGTAGGTTTCTTTGTAGTGGTACAAGAATCAGCATGATTTGCAGAAACCTATACGTGCAATCAGGAATACTTCTGTACATGGCTTCATGGCAGCATTTCCAACTTTTCAAGCAGAAGATAGTTGGGCCTGATGGCCACTATTCCAAGAAAAAAATCATCAGTCAGAAAATGGTGCCTTGATTACCGGTAGTCAGAAATGGTGATCGAGCTCTAACTGAAGTACCGATTTTCATCCTAGAAATAGTACCATGGTTCACCTGTTAGTAAAGCTAGCCTAGCAAACTACTAGTAAGTTGATGTTGACTGTGGTAATTCACAGATTACTAAACAGATTTTGTGTATGGGGTCATAACCTGTGATCTGTCTGTTGTTACTGTAGCAGAATATGTGCCATGAGAACTGACCTAATATCTCTTTGTGTATCTACTCAGATATCCCAGTGATCCCAGATCTGGATGATGTACAGGAGGAGGACATGGCCACTCAGATAGCTGCACCTCCCAGGTAATGTTGGGCTTACAAGAGTGGCATTTTGCATCCACTTCAAAAGAAAACCATGTCAGCGTACAGACACAAACAATGCAAACGTCTGGTTGTCAGTGTTGCTGACGCCTGCTACAAGTACATTGTAAGTTACCTGAAACCATCAGTTTAAAACAGGTTCCAACTTATACCAGTTCACTCTTTCATCTCAGTAGACAATACCATGAACTGTAATGATGGCATTTTTTCAACTGGCCAAACCCAAAGATGAAACCCTAAGTATGACTTTTTTAGCATAGAAATTCTGGTTTTGGGTAAACTACTGGTACACATCCATGTTGGAACTGCTTTTTCCAGATCCTGAAGACCAATTTTGATTGGACAAAGTGTAAAAAAACATGTTCCCCCACCCCCAAAAAAAATCTGCATTTAACTCCCTTCTGATGGCCCTAGTCCAAATGGGGTTTAATTGTTGGCTACACTTTTATTACAATGAAAAATCATCCTTGTCAAGGGATCCAGCAAAGAAAATATTTGCATATTTTTGATTAGCTTATTATATTTCTACTTATCATGCTCAGGTGTGAAAATGAATAGAATGAGACACATATATATATAGATGATAGATATATTTGATATGATTGTAATTACAAGGTATTTGAATTTTCTGTGTACAGTTTACAGGTCAACAAGATTGCAACATACAGAGAGCTGGATACTGATCTATTTAAACAAGCTGCATTCCTCATCCTGGTATGTCTGCACCTGACAATTCTCTAGTGCTAATTCTACTGTTGAGAGGACAATAACCAGAATTCTAAATAAGCACTGCCCTGTCGCTGTGGTCCTTAGTGTATTTTCATGAATGCTTAATGTAGGTTTCTGCTCCATTCCTACTTGATAGCTGTAATGCATCCCATGGGTTCATGCCTGGCTTACAGCAGATTATGTCATAATCTGGCCTCACAGAAACCGTCTAAATTTGTCAGCTGCAATCCTTTCCAAATCCTTAATTGCTTTGGGATGGTTTTTAGCTATCTCAAACACAATGGCAGCACGTTAAAAGCTTGGGAAAGAATGACAATGTGAGCCTGAAAGTAAGTTTAGATTAAGGTAGATTCCAGGTTCCTTGTGGTACCAGCTGGTTAGACAGCTTGAGGCTGTGGTGTTTGTGCCAGATACAGTCCTGTGTGCCTGCTTAGTTTCCTCTGGGCTTGTGGTGGTGGTGCTAACTTCCGATACAGCTCCCAGAGAGACACACAGACAGGGTGTACATCTGCATCTGCTCGGCACCTGTTTTCTGTGGAATGAAACAGTTAATAGAATAGGCAGGGTAGGCAGGCAGGAAACAGTCAACAGACATGCTACATATCCGTAACTCACAATTGCAATTTTCTTTCTCATCTACTAGATGACAGACAGAAAGAAGCAAAGGTCTAACCAAAAGATTTAGGAAAAGGATACTTGCCAGAGATGCTTCACTTATTATTTCCAAGAAAACATACTTACCGGTACTATCAGTAGAAATTCTTTTTCATCGAAGCTTACTTTTTCTCATGACATTTTAGAACCCATGTCAACATAGATATTCAGTTGTCTTTTTGTTCAACTCATTTCACATTTTTGTAAATACTGGTACATGTAAAACCATGTGAAAGCTCCTCTGGCGATTCCTTGTATGGTCCCTATATTGTCATGTCTTTTTGTTTTCTGCTGCTGGTCTGGAACAAATATGCAAAACTGTATGCCCATCATCCTGCTATGACATTTTATTTCCATCAGATGTTGCCATCTGTGGTCTTCATGTAGTTGAACTTTTCTCACATGTTTCTACCCAGGATGATGAGATTGACCTGAAGCCCCTTGCCAAATGTCTGTCAGCAGAAACAGATGTTCTGGAGGTAAGGGGAACAGTCAAGCCACATTTTTCTTCCCTTATGACATTAAGAAGTTCAAAGCTTTCATGGCAACTACAGGTTGCAGCTGTAGGCCACAATATCATTTCACAGCAATTGCCACAATTCTTGCCACAAAAAAGGCTGAAGCCAGAAAAATCTGACAAAGTTGAAAATAGATTTACCTATGGAATATTTGTGCCCGCTATAGGTACTGTACTACATGTATGTTACATAGTCACTATCTTGCCTATGAGTCAGGAAGATGAGTACCAGTAGTGATATGGTTTGGAAGAGACAGCCAATCCTCTAGCCTGAGCCTGTTACATTTTTGGGGATCTCTTTGCTCTTATTCTCAGGATCATTTAGCTCTCTTTACCACTTTACCAGTGTGAAGTTTGTGTACTGAGGACACTTCTTGGCTATAGTATAACTAATACACCTCTAGTATAATTTCATCTTTCATGGACAGAACATTGGATTTTGCACCTAGATAAGTGCATTATGTGTCTACAGGAGGACAAACCCTGGGACTGGGACAGGCTGTTTACAGAGGTGTCCTCAGAACTACAGGTAGAGTGGGAGGCTGAAAGGCCAAAGGAGGAAGAGGAGCCTCTACCAACACAGGGATGATGTTTGTTACTCATGGAGAGTGGTGTAAATTAATGTGTACATAGGCTTAGATTGTGTAAATTTTCCAGGTTAAACTTGATTGATGTTCCAACAACTCCAACATAAATGCAATGATTGCCTCACATCAAGTATACTGTCAGTGTCAGTAATGGAGAGTTGTCTATTCATTAGTGTCCTGCCGTGTTGAGGGGTCATTTTGTGATAACCTTTGCCACTCTACATTTGTCGCACACACAAAGTTTGTATTGATTACTTAAGAAGTTAACCTGATAATGCTTAAGATCATTGTTGAGATTCCAGCTTTGTGCACATTCCCTAATGAGGTAGATGGAGATAGAAACAACAAAGATTTTTGTGTGATACTCTGTATATTTGTTATTGCTGTCAACAGTCAGAAATACAAATCACTGTGTAATATACTTAACTATTTACAAAGCTGTTTCAGCTATATGCTGTACAAATCTTGTACAAAGATTAAAGAAGTATACATATACCACTCTGATATCCTTTTTAACTGCATACATTATGTTATTAATAAATCTATTCTTACTCAAGTACTGCCTGGATGAAAACATTGCGTTCATTTTTAGCCTTGTTAGATCCAATTATATGGTAACAGCAGCCTCTGATAACAGCAAAAGACTTCAACCACCAAAAACAGACAGGACCAGTATAATCATTCTAGTGTGAATAAAACACCTGCCCTTATATGTGGTCTATACAAGTGTGCTGAAGTCACTCATATTTCACACAATCTAGCAATCCAGGCATTAATAAACTTTACATTCAATCTCAAAATTATTAGAAATAGACTTAGATTTGTTATATAGACCAGGAATTCTTCAGAAGTGACAAAAAGTCAACTAACGATCATTCTATTATGTCCACGTGATGGCAACATGGCACAAATGTGTGTCTTTATATGTGTGTCTTAATATTCATTTCTTATGAAGCCAATATTGAGAACCAAATTTCACTGTTCTGTCAACTTCCTTGAGATGCACAGTAAGGTACATGTAAGGCATGTTAAAGGCACTGTGGTGCTTGATGCAGGGTGAGTTTACAGTGCCACCTGTCCCTTGGAGAAGGTCTCATTGAACTTCTCCAGGATTGGGATGGGAGAACACACCAACTTGAACCTCTGTAACACACACAACAAACACCATGTCAGTTTAGAAGGCTATGGCATGAAACACTTTCAAAAAATTGAAACGTGATTCTGGGTACATTCACACATGCAGGTTAATTGTACATTCTCAATGGCTTTTAAAAATACTCACATCATCATCAGTCTCTTTCTTCTCATGTCTGAAGTGCCTGGTGCCATATGGCAGGGCCCCGTACTGGGACGTGGTGTGCAGCAGGGGGCTGTACGGGCGATCTCTCCTGGTGAACGGCAGGAAACTGGTGGAAGATTGAGATATCATCAGAACATTGCACATTCACTGTTAAATGATTAAAGGGCATACTATGCACATGCTATAACTGCCAAAAGTATGATAATTAGAAAAGGCATGTCATAAAATTTACAGGTGTAGTCCATTTGATGCAATTACGATGTGACACCTTTCTGTCTACACTAATACAGGAAGATTTTCAGCTCAGCATACCATTGTGTTTTACCTTACAGCTTAAGAATTGACAAATGGCATTTGCTATTAAATCTAACTCCTATAATCCATCTATGACTTGATTCAGTCTATGTGTAGTCATCTATCTTGGACAAAGCTGATTTGTCTTGTAATATTACCGTATGGAATGTCATGTCTCACCCAATACAAGAAGCAGTCAAGCAGTGTGTTTGTTATGTAGAGACAGCAGTGAGCCTGTCAGTGTCAGCTGTTATAGTCAAGTAGGTCAGTCATGTCAGGGACAGTTGTCCATGGTCTACTGTAGTGAGGATGTAAAAGTCACACAGGGGAGCTGTCTAGAGAGGTGGCAGGGTATCTGTCATGTCCAAACAGTGTTGAGCTACTGATACCAGCGTCCATTAGCAGTCTAAGGTTTTACTTGTAAGAGAGTCATCCATTGTAACCAACAGCTGACATTGATGACAAAATTTCTGCATTTTCAATCACAAAATGGAAAAATTAGCACAGTTTTTTTAGAAGGTTGCTTGTTGCTACCTGTCATATTGCACACTTACGTGTTGTCATTTATTCTCCCCTCCCACTCCTTGCGCTTCATTGCTACTCTTGCCTCCTCCTCAGATGTATAGTCTGTTGCCACCCGCAGTGTGGGTTCCAGGGGCCTGTACCGCTGTGCATACACTTCTGTAGGCTGGCGGAAAGGACCCTAGTGGGGACCATATTGGTAAATTAGTAGGTGATAGCATTTTGTGTTCTCCAAACATAGCTGTATAGTAACACCCTCAATCTCATAACAGTTCGTAGGGTCACTAGGCACATTTTTACCTTTTAACATTAGTGTTCATTTGTGGTGTTATCGGTAATGCTGTACGATGATGAGAAATTGAAAAAAAAAACCTCGTCCAACTCGTTCTAACTGATGTTAAGGTTCATAGTGACAGGCACCTGTGCCCCATTCAAAGGATCTGTAGCATTAAAGCCCTAGCATCTGCAGTGAAGTTTTACATGTATGAGACTAGCTGAATCACCTGTGGTTTTTTCTTGTCAATGGGAGGCAGAGGTGCAGACTGGGGTAAGGCAGGGGGGACCCCGGGCGGGGAGGGGTCCACCAGCCCCATGGTGCTGTCCCTGGGCCTGAGCGGCCTCTTGTGGCTCAGGGGCTTGACTGACATCAGGCGGTACTCCATCTCATCAGGGAAGGGCTTGTATGGAGAGTTGTAGATACCAGAGATCTGAAACAAAAACGACATGACAGTTTGACCCAATTGGTATACACTACAGGAAGACACAAGCTAATACATGTACATAATATTTTTATTCATCAGTCTCAATTGAAAACTCAATAACATTATAGATTTCTGACAAAACTGATGGAGATGATGTACAAAATGTAGTCCATTCACCTGGTGTGTGCTGAGAAGGTAGTGGTTTTTTCTGGCACTGTAAATCTCTTTCTTCTCCTCCAACTCCTGCCTTCTCTTCTCCCTTTCTCTTTTGTGCATCTCTGCATATTCACTCAGCTCACTCCTGGATGAAATGTAAGTCATAACAATGGCATAAGTGCACAGGGAAACACAACAAAGTTTGCTAAAGAAAATATGATTTGCATTTTTGTCAGGCTGCCAACTTGCCACAGACACCGCCATCCAAAGAGGACAAACCATTCCCTAACTGCATTATTTCACCAATTATGTGTGCGGGTGAAGTAGACTGTCAAGGCTTTTAGTTGCTAAGCTGCATTTGTATGGAGGACTGGGGACAATGGGCTGAGCTTTGAAAGCAGGGGTCATGAGGTCATGTGAGAGCATGATGACCCCTGTAACACCACACCAGCCAGAACACAGGAAGAAACAAAATCCTGTTTATCTACACTCTAAATACACAATCTGCTGTACCCACGCTGCATATCCTTTCAGCCCTATTCAGTTGGAACAATAATCTTTCAAGGGACCTCAATATTAAAGTTTCTCACGTTACATTTAAGTTCTGACAGCCATCAGCAGCAACATTCCAAAGAAAAAACTTAGGATTAGATTTGTATTTGATTTCTAGTAGTCTTACCTGACGATTTGGTTCTTTATCTGCAATCCCTCCAGGTATCTCTTCCTGGCATAGTAGTTGTGCACATATTTGCGAACATAATATCCTCTCCACCTTTTCTGGATCTGAAGGAGAAAGAAAACAATTTATAGCAGTTCTCGTTTAGGTATCATCCTGATACATGTATATATGTTTGTAACATGCAAACAGTAAGGATTGATGAAAAATGCTATCTTAAGGTTTATGTTGGACAAATGACAGCCACTTACCCTGACCACCATCTTGTTGTAGAAGTTCATTCTCATCACAAAGACTGAATTCTGGAAGGAACGAAATACAACATTAAGAATATGCAAATGATTTCCATCTAAAATGCATCAAGTTAAAACCAGTGCAATACATGATCATCACAAAGCCGTGACTATGAAGATGACTGGACAAGCCAAGTTAATGTACAATGTCTCCTAAGGGGGAGGGACTTTAATACCTTGACCAGGGTGCGGAAGGCCCCCCTGCCCAGGAAGCCTCTCCAGTGTCTCTGGATGGTGACGGCACATCTGTGCAGAAACCTAGAAGGGCACAGGAATATACATAATGTTAACCATCATATTAAAAGCATGATACTCAATCAATTTTGGAAGCGTAAGTGTTGCTGACTGTGTGTATGGTGAAAAGTAAGTGGTGTATATTTGTGCGGGATGGAGACCTTGGATGTAATTTCCATAAAAACTGAGTGACAAACTGATGAGATTTACATGCTGCATGTCATATTAATAAGTCATAACATTGTGGGGTCCTGCATGTCAAATACAAATGCATACCTGCCCCAACAAGCAATACTCAAGGATTTTACCTTGAGATACAACCATGCATATTGGAAACTGAGAGAGATACAATCCATTCAATGTTGACTGGAAAGTTTGTGTCTGTTACTCACTTGATGTAAGACCTGACCCTGACGGCTCGGAACCAGCTCTGGATCTTCAGCGCTGCTTCATATTCTTTTAGACGATTCTCCTCGGCATCTCTGAAGGATGGAATACATAGTTAGCATTTTCAGATAAAACACATTTAAGTTGTGCAACTGTGCTACATCTCTACTTTAATCAGTGCCAGGTGCCAACCCTCTCAATATAAGGTACACAATTTAGATTAAGTAAACAAATTCACCCGAAGAGCACCCTATATATTCAACGACGTATTCTGTGTGACAGAACCAACGAATCGGTTAACCCTTCTACGAAATGGTAACAGGTACCATCTTTTCTTTGTCTTATCAAAGTTAAATGGTAAAATCACCTGTTTTGTATGAAAGTTTCCTCAACAACTTTGCCGGTAAGCCTGTCAAGTTTTACCATGGTCGCCATGTTTTTCATTGGTTCCTTGTTTGTCTTTGTTGCGAGGCAACGGGACTATACCAATGCTGATGGAACTGCCCAGCTTGCAGAATATATACTCCTTCAAAATCATTTATTATCACAAACTTTTGATTCTTTTACTTACCTTATACTATGTAAGTAGAAACAAAACCGTTATTGTTGTCATTATTCTCTTTTCTTGGTATAGATACTATGCAGAATAAAACAGGGGTGTGTCATCCTGTCCACCCCTGTCATGGATCTCTGTGGTAGCTACGGACTGGCCCACAATTCATTGCGCTAAACAACATGGATGGCCTCAGATGACATTTTTGCTGAGTTGATAGAATTATTGGCAGTCCTTTTGGCAACTTGACGCCAGAATATCGACTACGTCATCAGATAGGATGGTGCTAGAGGTATAAAAAATCGGTACGTACGACAGACATAACGATATTTAGGTTGGAATTTGGTGAGAATTGGTGTTTGTTCGACTGACTTCCCTGCGCAGTTGCGTCAGCTGGTTGTGGTTATGTGTTAGGACGTGTCAACAGAAGACTTCGTAAATACATGTATTATTTAGGAGCCTAAACATTGACACGTGCCCATCATCGTCTCATTATTTAACCATCGTGGTGCTTGCCAACAATGTGGAATGGTTTCAAATGTGGCCGTCAAGGGCCCAAACCAACACTTAATGCCCCCCTCCCCCATCATCACCTCATGACCCAGCATAATTAGCACAAAATGAGGAATTAATCATCACCCTCCGCCCATCTTGATAAAATTATAACATCTGAAGTAGAGGAGTACACCGTACGAGCTGTTGAACAGTGGAAAACGGTAAAGGAAGTCACCAAGGAGGTTAACCTCCTTGGAGTCACCAATCAAGAGTACAGTTACACAGATGGTCATTTGAAATTTCTGATTGAATCAAGGACATAATATCGAATGCATATGCACAAACCAACCAACCAACAAACAAACAAACAACAAAATTATCTTCATCAACAATCAGCTGTTAGATTTGATAAGCACCTTGGGACAGGTGGCACTTAAGTCACTGCTGTCAGCCTTTGTAACAAATGTATGTAATATTGTTTGCCCCCTTTTGTGCACGTTGAGATGGACACAAGCTCTGAATCGTCTGATAAGACTGAAAACCTGCTTCTTCGATTTTAAGTTCTTAACCTGCTTCTGCTGCCAAAGCCAATTAGTTATTGGTTATCTTAGAGAAATTTTTTATGAGCCCTGGAGACACTCTTCTGGAAACATATGTACTCAAGAATGTATTCTTGCAAGTTGATCATATAAATCATGTTGTGTTACTTCTTCATGCTTGTATGCTTTTTGATACTATCATATCATGTGATTGTCATATATATTCATCAATGTCATACATTTGTATGATTCATGAATATATCAATTGTAATATATGTACATGTATATCTATAAAGTGAGCTTTAACCTCATTAGCTTGGTAATATTTCTTATCCTATAGTGGTTATGCCTGTATGATAAATACATCTGCACTAAATATATGTGAGGTATATGCTATTGTATTATGAAAAGGTCATTATTTGCATTTGCTATTAATCAAATGTGATTATCTAATTACATGTATATGCAACTTGTAAAGTTGCAAGTACTATTATTAAAAAGTGGATCATGTTGAGCATTAGAAATTTATGCTGCATGATGAAACTTCTGCTATTTAGAGGTGACATGTTTTTGTATACTTTTGACCAGATTGCCATTCCTGACAGAACAACATGCACTCTTTGAATTCTGTGGACTTGGCCATATCATGGCTGTTTTAAGTGATGAAGAGATATGATATTGCATACTAATCAACATTTCATAACATTTTGGAAATTAGATTATATCATAATAACAGATACTAGACATGTTCATGTGCCGATTGGTGATTGGTTTTTTTTTGCACCTTCTAAACTTTGTGTGTTTGTTATGTTCACCTTGTCAGGTTTGTGGTAGAGAAGGACAGCAGGCTGACCTGCCCAGCATGGAGGTAGTGAACATGGAGGAACTCATCCAGGACCTGACTTGTGCTCTGGAGGAGACCAGCAAGTCTAAGGAAGATTTAGAGCCTGAGGGAGAGGTGGAGGGAGCCTGTGCAGCCAGCCCCTGTCAGATACGCCGGAGACAGGCCCGGAAGAGAAGGGGGCGAAAAAGGCGGTCTGACCCTAATCCCATCTGGGAATATGGGAATATTAGTGAAGCCTCAGAATCAAGCCTTGATGAAGCCTTGAAGGACTATATGGAGAATGTGACACAACAACAGGAAGATGATCATGACTCAGACGACCTCATCATGGCCAAGAGACTGTTGTCCCTAAACTTCAACTCCACTGCCAGCAACAGACACTCCTTCCACTCTGAATCAGACACCTTCACAGACAGTTATAGCAAGGTTCGCAGTGCTCGTCCCAGTCGGAGAAGAAAGTACAAACGGATGGCTGTCGACCCTCAAGGCACAGTAGGCAGCCCCATGACCTCACAGCTACCTAATGGACTGCCTGATTATATCCCAAGAAAACGAAAGCAACTGAAAAAGGCAGGAAAGGGTCTACTGAAGGAAGGAAGCCAAGATGAAGATGCGATGGACATAGAAGGCCTGAGGTCTGGGCAGTTTGGTTATGACATCAAGAAGTTGAGAATGAAAGACAGCGAGCAAGACCAAGCCAGAACTGCAGGGGAACAGGACTCCATGGACTGCTATGATGAGGGAGGGACAAGCAAGGAGGGAGATGCTGAGAGGTAAGGTGGTCAATTATTATCATAACTTGCTACTGTAATAAACATCAATAATCATTAACTTGTATATGGTTAGTAGGTAACATTTGTATACACCACTGGTTTCCTGTATTATGTTCTCCATGGTTCTACTTCTACTTTATCTTTCCCAGGGAGCTCTGGTTTGATGCAGAACATTTTCACTCTTCCATGGGGACATTTTTGGTTGAGTGATGAATCCCACATCAACAAACCACCATCAAAATCAACACAATATTAACATGGCTCATTCCACTCAAGTTGCCTCTGTCACAAGTGTTTGCTTTTCTGCTGCAAAGCTGGGAAAGTAGGCTGGGAAGACTGCTTTGCATTCAATGACAGATTAGAGCATTCTGGGAAGGTTGGGTGGGGCTCCATAGGGGATCAAAGGGTAGTGTACATGTAAATTCACACCTTTACTTAGTCTCATTTGAAAAAGGTGTGCAAACTTTTGAGATAACCCCTTATCTCAAACCACTGTATGGAAACAGACTCCACTCAAAATGTATCGGAAATAGATTTTCTCAGGTTATTGACTGCTTACTCAGGGGCCATCCCAGAAGCCCTTGCTACCAGCTGATCAGTATTCCACCGGGGGTTTGGCCCCAAATCAGATTAAATCAAGTGAGCGGGAGGTCCTGCAGGGTCATGGACTCTGCACCTGCCAATATATTACAGCCATTATTTCCTGGTTTTAAGAGATATGAGATCTTGAAACATCATGTAATTAAATCTTCAACAAAGATGTATGACCAGCCAGCAAAATGGGTCGAGAAAGATTGGCCATGCTGTGAATACTGATACAGGATGATAACAATGGTTAACGGTGGTCTGGGCCAGCATATTCACCATACCACACACTGATTGCACGATTGGATTATGCTCAACACCTTTTTCAAGCCAATTCCCCAGTACATTTCTACATAATTTGCTTCCAGGAGACTTATGTATCCATTCATATGCATCTGTGCTTGGACAGATACATTTTGCTTGGTGTAGATGGTCACCTTGATACACTTCCTTCATTCACATGAGGTGTCTGTACCTGTGCCTTGGCAGTGATGAAGATGTAGATACATGTACTATTATTATTAATAAATGTGAAAATACATATACTTAAGTGAAATATCTATTAGTCAAATTGAAACTACATATTACATATATTCATCAGCACAAAATGGACATCTCATAGAGTAAAGTTGTTGGAATAATGTCATGTTGTAGTCTTGTAGACATATACATGGTATTTCTTGTTTCAATATTTTGATGAAACGTTTACTATCATATGTGAAAAGGAGCTTAACTCTTCATGCTGTTCTTAAGGTTAGCTTCTGCTCTGCCAGGGTCGACCATATCTGTCTTATAGCAGCTTGGAACGTCACCAATAAGTCTGATCATTCCAGATGAAGTCTTTCTTTGCCAACCTTTTCAGTCATCTTCTATTGTTTGTTAGTGCTTCTTTCCCTTTTACTGCCAGATACAAAGTAGCTGTCACAGGATGATATCAGATGTATGAAATATGATATACTAAACCTTGTCCTTTGCTGCCTAGCAGACATATTGTGCAATGAAGTATTATTTTTCTGTACAGGATTACTATTTCTGGATGACATAGTGATACCTTTATTATGATGATTTGCATGCAGGTGCATGAATGTTTGTCTCACTACAGAGATCCTATATCAAATTAGCTATTCTGTGAGGTTTTTGTCTATTTTAGACATGTCTAGGTACCATCATTATTATGTACACTGATATGTTCCATCTGTTACCTTTTCTTGCCTCTCACATTATGAAATAGATAACTTTCTATATTTAACTCTATAAGTTGCATTGGTATCATGTGGCATCAGTCATGCAATACTTATTTATTTTAAAAGGCATAGCAGCACAAGGTACATGTGTACTCATTAGTAATGGTTATATATCTACAGGCTATAGCAATAATGTTACAGAACACACAAACAACTGCCCTTCATTCCTTCATATACATCTCTTTGTGTCTTTATCAATTATGTACACAAATAAATGCAAAGACAGCTGGCTGACTGGTTAGTCCTACACATACATTGAAATATGTTACAATACGATGTTTGAACCATGAATGGATTTTTGCCTTGAAAGCTGAAATTAATTTAGCAACAGAGCATTGATTTTTGATGTAATTCAACCTGCTAAGTACATGTATGGGCTTGTTAGTATTTTGGTTGACTTCTTTTTTCATCCTCAACTGGGGTGGAGCATGCTGCTTTTTCAGTAGCTACTAAGTGCAACGCTGCTTTGCTACAGCATATTTAAGGGTGGTTGTTACAATACAGCGGTTCACCAGGCCTCCATCTGGGTGATTTGTGTAGAGAATCAACAACTTATTACTAATTTATTAGTATTCAGACCATCACACATCGGGGCATGTCCCTACTCTTTTTTGAAAGGTGTGGTACTGGTTCTTTAACATGTTTGGGGTATGGCTCTATCCAAGGGACATCCAAGGGACATCTTTGTCCTATCCAAGGGACATCGGTAACCAAAGCTGGGTGTTGCATGGAAGTAAAATAAGTATCAAACAAGCGCGAAGGTCACTTGGTGTTCTATGTCAGCCTCTCTATATCTAATCGTACCTGTTTATTTTAGGGTCAAGATGCAGTAGATGGTCTGGGTATGCTTCTGGGTATTTATTATATATTTAGGTTATACTTTGTGCACTTGGAAAGAGTTGATGAAAATTTTGAGATGAGTTGTGGTGTAGTCTCATGACCAGTATGGTCAGTGCTGTGAGGTTTTTAAGATACAGAACATCTACAAGCCTCTGCTCCTTATGTTGTTTGAACGGATTCATTTACCTCTTATATGCAATATGTGTGAGCATTACATTTATTGCAACTGAAGAATCAGTGTTCAAACTAAAGAAATAAAACATTGTTCTTGCAGAATATCTGCATTTTCAGCACCGAGGACAGGCAGGTGGTCTCAGCTTGGTTAGAACAGGTGCTTTTCTGTGTTTTCATTGTTTTCTTGTTAAACAATTGTGTCGACAGCATTGATATACATGTAGGTTAGATCACTATCAATCCATACCAACACAGCTGTGAAATCTTACTGTTCTGTTTCCCCTTTGAAAGATCATTTATAGTCTGCAGTCACATTCCGGCTATATTCCAGATATGCCTTCTGTGGTTGAAGCATTTCCTATAAAAAGGAGGAGTTAAAGGCAGGTTTTCATGTTTAAAGGCCAACATAACCCAGGAAAAGTCACATCACTGCACAGTAGACAGTATCCCTTCTCTAGAGGCTGTGGCGCCAAACTAATAAACAGGGGAAAATAGCCATGAAACTACATTTGTGACCTAGCTTATCACTCAGGGTGTGTGGGGTATCTACTGCTGTAAGTTGGACCTCTCTGCTAGACTGAATACAGCAAATGGGATTTAGTCGACAAATGCAGCAGTGTAGGTGAAAGGTCACCTCAGCCATCCATGAGCGTGGTATGACACTGGTGTAGCCAAGCTTCAGATAACCACAGAAATATAGGAGGATAGTTTCCTCTTCACAAGAATGTGTTTAGCTCAGTGCACTTTTTACAACAACAACTGATTGTTCCCTGTTATCACCTTTCCAACAACTGCTGATGGAAAGCATACCAGTAGTTGGGGTAAAGGTGGATAAGTCATAAAAGCCTATATAGAACTTGGTAATGCCTCTACTATAGTATTCATGTAGATCTACTTCTTATGGATCCGATAAAGTCATGAAATATATTCTGTTGTATAAAAAAACAAATTGACGTTTCAGTTCTGAATGTTCCAAATGGAAATTGTTTGGGTTCCTTTTTTTGTCAAAGCAATAAAAAAGGAGAGAAGACTTCAGATGTAGAAACTTTTGTTACTGCAGTAGAATACAAATGATTTTATGAAAGTCTCTGTGGACGTGGAGGATAAAAAGCAGATATGGTATGTCAAGGTCTCTTATAATCAGCTCTTCAGAACATGTGTGCTGGCAGGCTGCCATACATCGTTGCCAGGATGTTTATTTCACTACCAAGGCACATGTCAAACATTGTCTATTTTTTACCAGAAGAAGTGTAATATATCTGATTGTCAAAGCTCACGGACAGTATCTTGCATTATGGCGTTTATTAGTAATATTACAAGTACCAAAGTCTCGTCAGTTAGGTAGCTTATTTTTTTAGAATTCATCCAATTATGATATTTGAAATTGGAACATGTTCAGTTCTTAACAGTTTCTACCAATTTTGTACTTACTGAGCCATACATAGAGGAGTTTTGGACAAAGATTATTGGACCAAGGATTTCATATCTTTATATTTGCCAGATAATTTTGCATCACACTCAACCACATTCACACTTCCCCTTTGTACCTTTTTTTCTCTTACTGAATCCAGAGTAACCTTTTTTCTCACTACAGTAAAAATGTGGCTCATCAGGACAGTGGTAAAGATCAAAGGACTGAATATTCTCTGGAAACAGCAAGTTACATAGCTGTGTCATGTGACCTATTTCCTTTATTTCAAACCTTTAGCATACAGTCTTATGTATGATATATGTTCCACCTAACCCCAGTGTTTTGTCACAGGTCACGCCAGTCTTGGCAGCTTCCATCTTTTCTTTCCAAAATTCATCTTTTGTTGCTCCGTCGGGACATGTCTGTCCAAGTAACAAGAGTATTGGGCAGATTGAGTGATAGACACGGAAATGAAAACAGGATATGGGTACAAATAAAAGCACTGGAAATCTAATTGCCCATGGAGGGGGATTGATTGTGACCCCTGCCCCCAGCCTGACCCCTGTATGATGTAGAGAAGCCCACAATTTGTTATGTTGGAGCCCACCTGAGTAAATTCTGGGCTGCTCACTCAGCCTTCTTCAACCCAGACACCTCTCTCAAAGCTTGTCAAGAAAATTTGTTGCCAGAATAATTACTACTTTGGCATTTCCGATGAAAATCAATAAAATAGGTGGAAGTCTTAAACCTTGCATGTGAGGCCTTCATAAATATTGCAGTACCTACTAATAATGGATCACAGGGCACAGGCACTGTGCAATGGGCCAAATTTATCGAGCTATCAAAGGAAAATATCCTTGCAGTTTTGCTTTAATGGATTTGGTGCAAAGAGGTGGAATCATTTCCACCTTCTCTGCTTGTCTCATCTTTCCACCGTCTGGTGGGACCCTAATCTGTCCAGGTACTTTGGCAGACTATATTTCCTCCTCCTGCCTGACTCTCCTGCCAATGCATCAGTCCAGCCTGCTGCATCTGATAGACAGCAAATGGACATGAATTCAACAAGAGTTCTGAGATCTCATACCTCCATGAAATATGGGCTTGCTTTGTCCTCATTAATTATGCAAATAACCTCTACATTAACATAATATATGCATAGCGATGCAAACCTTTAAGTAACTTACACGTGTTACGAGGTATAAAATTCCCATCATTCACCAATAAGGATTCACATAATTTTCACATTAATTATGCAAATTAGGTCATCATTTGCATAATTGGTATCTGTTCATGTTCCGCCTGCCACAGATTGAATAGATTACATGTATAGCAGTACAATTATATGAAACACTGTAATTATAGAATTTCCTCATTAATTATGCAAATTAAGTCCTCATTTGCATAATTTACATTTAATCATGTACATCTCTCTCTCAGCTACCTACACACCAAAAATGATGAAAATATGTTGTTCCAATCTGGACTTATTGGCTTTGAAAGTTTTTACCAGAAACTAACCTGCAGTTCCAGAACAAGCTGCTAGGGGGATCAAACTTACGCCACTTATTCCTGACAGGATTAGCTATTTGTCACCAAAAAGTCAAGACCATAGCTTGTTCAGGACAAAAGATTCAAAAACCGGAAGTTCTGCTGCAGTACCAAGGTCATCCACCAGGAGGCCCATACTTGACCTTGACCTTTGTCTTTCCAAGACTTACCATCATACCAAATATCATCGCAATCCATAAAGGCGTTCTGAAGTTATGCTGACTACAAAGTTGCGGAAACACAGACAGACAGACACACAGACACACAGACAGACAGACAGACAGACAGACATACAGACAGACACGCCAAAAACAATACCTCCATTTTCATGGAGGTAACAAGTGCAGGAGAAGTCACTTGGCCATGCTACCCCTTGTTAGCCCCGGGGCAGTGACATAACGGGGCTGAATTCTGGCAGCACGGCAGCCATGGCCCCGTATCTGCAACCAGAAGGAGATACAAAGTCAGGGTCCTGCACACCTGCCCTCCCAGTCCCACCACTCAAGCAGCAACAAAAACAGGACAGGCTCCGATACGGAGCAGTAACACTGATAAAACTGTAATGAAGACAGCAAGTTTGTCTGATGGATGGTGGCAGCCCAGTACAAAGTAACTGCAGGCTATTGTACAGGCAGTAGCGGGTCCAGGGTGAACAGCTTTGTTCTACATTATTTGGCCACACAAAGCTGTGATCTCCAGTGGTCTTTGTGCTTATCATTGACAGTGTGTTGAGCAATGGGGCTGAAAAATCACATGGACATTGATGCACTTACAGGTAATGTATCCACACTGGCAGCGGCTGATTGGAAACAAAATAGCAAAATGGCAGGTGTAGGAAACATGGTTGTAGGGATACAAAGGAAATTTAGGTCACTGTAGGATAAACTTTAATGTGCAATACATCAATTCTTAGAGAACAGTTCTAGTTCTAATTCATGTTCAAACAGGGTGGAATATAACAGTTTGGCCTCAAAACATTGAGTTTTTGAAAAGGACCATCTGTGCTATATTGGTAGACTTAAGTTGCATAGTTTTTCACTTTATTCACATATAACTTACCATAGTCTAGGACATAAATCTGGTGAGGTAACTTACAAGAAAGAAAAATAGTTTGCCTTGATACTAGTGTACATGACAATGTGTGGTCCAAAGAGTATCAACAACATATACAGAAATAGTTACCGGTACATCTAGTAACTTTTGTACTTACATGAGTGGTACATGTCAAAAGTTCTACTTCTAATTCTAGGAAAACAAGAATATTATTGATAGAGACCATCTTTTTGCTGTTTCCTGAAGATGTCAAGGAAGTTAGGTCTTCTGAATCAAAAACAACTACAGTAACTTTATAGTAAAATGAACAGTTTCTGGGTGTTGAGAGATGTGGTCTTCAGGGTCTTACTGAACTTTGTCAGAGATGAGTTAAAGAAATGGTGCACCTTATTTTCAGACTAATTGGACTGTAGTTGGAACAATGGTTCTTGATGTTAAATGTTATGTAATCTGACTGTTGACTTGTCTGCCTTCCAGTGTGTTTGAAAGTGACTTGAGTGGAAGTGAAAGTGACAGTGGACTCTACACCAATGATGAAGGACGAGAAGGTAAGATATACATTATTGTGTTCATTTGATTTTTTCAGTGAAAATAACAAATCTTAATGACTAAAGTAAACATAAATATTGTCCGTGAAATAGACATGTACAGTGGTTTGTAAATCTATATGGTTGTACTTTTCTCATAGTCTGAGGTATAAAATCTGTGTTGGAAATGGTCTGTTGATGATGTCAAGAGTGGTGTGTAGTGCTCAAAGATGCAGAGACTTAATGTCAGTTTCCTGTGTTTGATATTCATCATATTCAGCATTGGCATTTCTGAACCATCCTACCGTGTCATCACAGACTCTTCCATCCTGTTTTGGGACTACTGTCTCTGCTTTAATAAAAACTTAATCCCAACTTTGCTATATTCCATTTGGCATATCCAATTGTACACATGTTGATCCACAAAATTACAGCAGGACAAGTCTTCGTCGTTTCTCCGTGGACTTTGATTGATTTTCCTCTGTGCAGAAGTATTGAAAGTGTACATATTGCGAGGCTCCATACCACGACGTAGTCAGGACAAATTGATTTTGATTACCTGGAGGAAAACAGTAACTCACGGTCTATCATTGCAGTAAATAAATGTGTAATTATATTCTCAATTTCAATGTTAGCAGGGTGTTTTCAATAAAGGTCTCCAAGAATTATGTGTCCCTATAGACAACATTGCATGGATGACATATACGTGCTATATCCGCTAGATGTATTTTAATGCATGCGCAAATTCTCTCCATATAAATCAACTGATGAGAATTAAGTATTTCATCACAGGGTACAAAGTGTAATTCTGAATCTAGGCAACATGCAGATGTTTCTACAGTAGAAGGTATTTTGGAGAATTATGGCCCAATTTTTTTTATTTTTCTAAAAGGAAACTTTTCAACAAAAGTTGGCTCTGGTACCAAACCAATTACAAGTAATCAGGGGATGATTCACATGTGCAATTTCCATATTCTCGGAATCAATCAACCCGACTGGAAATATTGGAAGCGAATCTTCCACGGATGATGGGCACATTTTTCTATCAGGTAAACAATCAATCACAACTTAGCGGGACATTTTGTCTAGTTAGTGGGATGAAACCAATTTAGTTTGTGAAGTTTGGACCATCCATCAGTAACCCCTGACGGGTGTAGGGGTGGGGCAGGATGAGCCAGGGTGACATGTTGGCAGACTCACAGCTAGACTGGTGCTGCTGCCACTGTTCCCACGTCAGGAACAACACTGCTCACAGAATTACTTCTGTCTGTCACATCTTTTCAATGATGTCTTTACAAACTTAAAATTTTAAATCCAGAATATAAAAGTAATTATTTTAGCCAGACACATTGTATGTTGAAGTATCTTTGTGGTATGTCTTATTTTGGCCTTAGCCGTCGTTTTCCCATTTTAGATTTTTTAATAGACTGAGAATATAAGGGATTTAAAATGGTTTATAAACATATGAGTTGTACATTTGTAACTAGTCACAATCACATCATTTATTTATTTATTTCTTCTTTGTTGCAACATTCAGCAGGAGGGGAAAATGTTGACCACTTTTACTCTTAATGCAAATGATTACAACTCCAAGAGTGTAGTTATTCCACACATGTACATCAGACAATGCCTGAAAGGTTCAGCAATATGCATTACTAAAGGGATGAACAGCTTGTGTGACTATGAGAGAGATGTTTATTGAAATTGAGACCTATATCATCTAGACACTTACACTGAGGACCTCTAGTGAGAGAAAACAACACTGTCACTGCAGACAATGGTGTGCATTCTGCTCTAAGTCTAACCCTCTACCTTGAAGCTTGGCTTGAAGGTTGATTGGATCTTTTTCAAGTTGAATAGCTTGTTTTTTTCTGATGTCAACAACAGTTGATTTTTTCAGAGAGCAGAGGTGTGTCAACAAATATGAATGTCTTAAGATTACCTTACTTTGTATAAACTGAAAAGTTTACCTTTATGGCAATGGTTCTTCTTGCTCAAGTACAGTATATTCCCCAAAGATTTATGCTCATGCTTTTTTTGTTATCTACTATCAGAGGATTGTTTGCATACATGCCAAGTCGATATAAGAAAAAGTTCAGTCATTTCTAATTCAATACACATACTTAGATAGGACATGTTCATTGTTTGCAAAGGCCAAACATCTTGGATTTGGTAATAAATACATGTAGAGCATGGCAATAAATAGAGTGAGGGGCACTACATACTAGCAGCAGGTCACTCTGATCCTGTTTTGCCATATCAGTAGGTTCAGAGTTGAAAATTGAATACAATTTGTAACTTCATGAACTAAAAATGTAAGTATTGAAAACACGTTAGACCCTTTAGTTCCAACAAACAGTTGTTGTTGATGACATTACTGTATGATGTATGAATGGTGTAGAAATGCGAAATGTCTGGTGAGCAGTACCACCTCTGTGTTATTTCCAGGTGATGATGAGCAGAGTGACTTCTTCCACGAGGGTGCAGGGCCTGCTTGTGGTATCCCAGGAGTTATCCAATGGTGGGAGGAGGACAAGATTGACTGTGATGACCATGACCCTAAATTTGAACAGATACTTAATGGATCCTTACCCTTCCTGACTGATGTGCCCAGAGGTGGGTTTTAGATATGATCCTTGTGATTTCTGTTACACATGTATCATGCACTTGGTTGTATTTTAGGTGCTCAAGCCTATTTCTAATGGCTGTAGTTCAAAGGACATCAACATTTTTATTAACAGCAAATGCTTGTTGAAAGTTTGGAAGAAGCTGTAAGATGTTAATGATGAGCCCACAAATGTGTATCATGTGTGAGGCACATGATGGACTGATGAACGTTGATTCATTCTTGGCTTGTGATGTTTGTAACTGCACACATTTACGGTGCAATTTACCTCCTTAGGCTTACAGGCCAGGACAAGTCGGCTGCTGGGGAGATACTCCAACAAGCGGAACATCAAATCAGCATGCAGGAGGCTGAAAGACAGGGTGAGGAGGATTATCCCACTGCCTGATTAGGCAGGCAAACTTAAAGGCACCATAATGATTGATGACAGGAACAAAGGCTAACCCCAAATCTGCAATGGGAGGATTGCAAAGACAGCAACCCGCAGAGAGATCCAATGTTTTAACCCCTCTTTAAGCAAAGCCCTAAGAGCAGAGTTAGTATCTGTGTTTTGGCACCTCTAAGGATTCAAAATTTGTGCGGGGATGACTTTGTCGTAATTGACTTGACAAGTAGACTGCTAAACCACCAGAGAAAGCTTAAGCATGTTATGAGACAGGCTGATTTAGCCTAGAGATGTGCAGACAAAGAGATGAGAAATAGAGTGGGAGGTTTGTGGGAGGTTTGTGGAACATTAAGAAAGGAAAACTAGACCATAGTGTGCTCTGATGCTCAAGATCCGGTTTGAAACAAGGCAGACAATGCCAATGGGAAAATTCAACATCATGACGTGCACACATGTATATTTTAACTAATCTGAGGGGGAAAGTCTGAAGAAGTCAAGGTGATGGTCCACATTCCCTTGCAAAGCCTATTGTTATTGATGGTGTGCGCAGTAGTGAAGTCATTTTGAAGTAGTGGGCAGCCTCTGGATGTAAGCTCACTAAGGGTGAGATGAAAGAGTTCTAAAAAAAAATGCTGTGATTGGACGTGTGATCTGCTGCAGTTCATGTGACCCTTGCTAGAGGGCTGTGAGAAGTGTCCAGTTCTGTTTTGAAAAAAAGGCCTAATTCCTTTCTAGCAGTGAAACCCATCATGTTTGCTAAGAATATGACCTGGCCAATAAAGATCATATTCCAGTACTTTAGAATTCCAACAGGCACTAAATGGGAACCTTAAAAGTGTTATTATATGGAACCTCAGACCAGCAGCGACAAAATTTCAAATGTAGAGGTAAGGGTTGTAATCCGTTTACCTATTTGAATGCATGCAGTGAATCCATACAATGTGAAGCCCATGAGACTTTAAAGTAGAAACTTATATGCAACAATGTATGCAGATTTCATTTTATTTCTTAATACACACATAGTATGTGGATTTAAAAGAGTGTAGGATTTTGAAGGCATAATGTACTCGTACAGTTCACATTGTAGAGAAGTACCAAGACAGAAGGAAACGTGCAAATAGACCAAAGTGGCTATGGCAAAAGCACATTCATTGCTGAGCTACCCGGCTAAACACAGATGCATTGCACACCTTCATCCATTCTATCATTAGCTGTTAATGTTCCTTTTATGATGCTAAGTGGTCCCAGCAGTGGAACCAGTGAGATGGACACGTTGATGTGTGGCTCGCTCCTGATTGATTCTGAAACACAGGGAACGAGATTGATTCCTCCATCTTATCAACGCTATTCTACACTAACTCCTTCCTTTTGGTAAGTCTGCTAAGCCGGACACTGAAGCATATCTGCCTGGAAGGGAAGAATGGGTGAAAGTGTCAAGGCTTCAGCACCAACTGGCCAGGAATGTAGCTGCCTATTTGTGAGGTAGATGACTGTGCAAGTATTAGGAGGTTCACTTGGCTGGAACAGTGTTAAATGTCTTATTCCTTGTCTGGTGTAGTGAGAACATTATAAATCTTACATATACAGTCACTGTAGTCATTTACGGTACATCAATGGGGAAGGGGAATGCATACTGTCCTTCCAACAAGTTTGAGTGGGTTTTCTTCTCCATACTCAGAAGAAGAGAGGTCCCATGTACAGCACCAACAATGACATGATGTCAGGAGACTTCTCAGCATATCAAGAGTAAGTCTACGGTATACATAATGAGATTAAACATTGCATTCTCATGAATGTTTTATGTCTTAAACAAGGAAAAACTTTGATAAACATGAAAATCCTTCCCCTTTTCCATGTTTGCATTAAAGTTGTGTATTGATACTGGTTTGATGGATTTTTGTCATTAGTGTTTTTATGATTCATTAGCTGTCTGTGAAATTAGAGTGCCTGGCTTAAGTTTTAGTAAGGTAATCTAGTTTGCCCTTGTGAAGATATCTGCCATTAATGGACACAAGAGGTCTCTCATGTGGGCACTATCAGTGTCATCATCTGTGCTTGGTTTTCCAGGATTTGGCTGCAGCCGCGGAAGAAGAAGGAAAAAGATCAGGTTGGTGTATTGATTTTGTAATTGTACTTCTGCAATATAAAAGTCTGGTATGTCTTCAATAGAGGGGTGTATTTCAGTAAGCCTGTCAAATACAAACTCTATGAGCATGTATAATCCCCAATGGCTGGATCTTCATTAGACAAAGTTGGGACTAGAAGTAAAAGGGAGTGTGGAATGATGAATACTTGCCGGAGACTATTGATGTGTGGATCAATTTGATAGATAACATTTTGGATGGGAGTTTCAAGTTTATTTAAGTAACAACTGGATTAGCAGCAAAAAGGCACAGGGATGGTATAGTTGATATCATCAGGTTATTCATTGGTATCTTTTATTTGTCAACAGGGATTGTTGTGTGTGTGTACATTTACTAACAAAGAATGTGAATAAATAAAAAGGTAGATAAATTTAAGATATAGCAGCATTTTGTTTATTGACCCAGGCTGTATTTTGTTGAATGTTGCAGTCTCTATCAAGCCATCACCACCTGTTATATTCTTATGGGCAGTCAGGACACCACAAATGTGGATCTGCAGACAACAAACGACGTAGGAAGATCCCACAGTCATCACCAATGGCACAGGGTAAGACTGGCTGGCTCCAAGACAGAGCACAACTGCTTCCAGACCAACTTAACAGAGTGGAGAGTGTAATTCTTGTGTATCCACATCTGGCATTTTACCCTATGATGGAATGGCAATATTGCCAGAGCTATAGCCATATGTATTTTTTAATTTTTGCCAAAGAAGTGCCTCTGCTAGCATAGGGAACAATACACCTGCCATCCACCGTACAGAGAACAGGATGACATTCTGCATTTATTAATCATTTCATCTGAAAACTGGTCCATCCTCCAGGTCTGAGCAAATTCAATGACAAGTGAAGTCCACATCCTCAGACCCATGTTCATCCAGGAGCTAATCTTTGCCGTACATCCTGGAAAATCTATTCTATGTCAGGTACATTAAGTCATTAACATAGACAAGCTCTGCAAGTGTGCACAGGTGGTAAGAATGCCAACAGAGACAACAACTTGTAAGCATACCTTTGTCCCTATCAACACATGCTGCAACTGGAGTCTTATTGACTTCCCAGTGGTAAAACTGCTGCAGGTATACTGGCAGTGTAGGAGAGGGGCTGATGGATTTAATGTGAAGCTATCCACCATAGACTTTGGTAACAATTTGATATCAGTTCGGCATCATTGTTTAAGTCTCAGCCGATAGTCTTGTTGTAAAGATTTATAAAGAAGTCTCGGGATTCCTTGGCAGTGTTAATGTTTGTTAAGATAAGGTTCTTGTCTTCTGCAAGATAAGGTTTATCTCAGGCCTGTCCTGGGGCAGAGTATTTCATCAGCTATCTTGTTTAGAGCCCTCCAAGTCAGTCCTTCATGTCACTGTCTCATTAACATCACAAACCCAATGCCAGCATTTCCCACTGGTGGTCCACACAGCCACTCCGATAAGGTGGCAACTCAATGTGACTAATATCCCTGTGGGGCTCTGTAATTTACTTCAACACAAGAATGCTTTGGCCTCAGACCCCAATCATGATAACAGATTTTCATTTTCCTTGCATTGTGCGTCTGTGCCACTCCATTTGCATGGAAAATGCCAGGAAGCAATTTAATCTCCCAGCCTTACATTCTCCAAGTTGATGCCTGCTACAGACGCTCAAGTTGACAAGTTTCTCACTGACTCATGACTCGCCAGTAGAGGCAGCTACACAGGCCACTGTACTACTGCAGTGTCAGGTACCACTGGTCACACTGGGTAATCCTGTGTCACATAAAATGAGTTTCTAGACCTTGACCAAACCTGTTAAATATGAGGAGGTCACTTATTGGATTGGTCCCAGAGTTTGCAGCATGTGAGTGTGGCACAGCAGGACAGACCGTGGTGTTGCCCAAAAGGTGTATTCTAAATGTCAGGGTCCTCTCTCATGCACCATTCATCTGATAGCCTCCTCACAGCAAGGCACTTCAATCTCACTGACAGTTTAAACAATGGGATGATGTCGTAGTGTGTGTATGGGGGGGGGGGGGGGACCATGAACTACCCAAACTATCATTACACCTCCAGTGCTTGAATGAAGGGGATGTTCATTAGTTAGGTGAAAACCTTGGTCTGAAAGTGGTCTAAATGAATACAAGAGGTTATTTTCCTTTTTGATAAATCAGCATGTGCTGCTGATGAATTAGAAACTTAATTTCAAGACCTAAACTGAAATACTGTATCCATAAAACACTTTTCAATACATGAAAGGAGTGCTCATGTCATGGGAGATGCAGCTGTCATGGGGCACATCAAGAGCCAACAAAACCTGTGTTTTCCTTTTGAATGCCACTTGTTTCTCCCAGAGGCAGAAAGAGAAATGATTAGTTTTCACATGACAAAAGGCTGTGATTGCAGAGTCCGTCTCACCAGACTTATGAATGTGCTGTTCCCTGGAGATGATACTGATAGATGTGCAAGTACTGTGAATTATCCTGAACAGAGTGTCCCCAATGCTTATAGATGGGTGATGGTGATCTTTCTCCTACCATCATGATGTGCCGTAAAATCAGCACCTTGTGGCTAATTCCAGCAGCTGTGGTGGACAAAGTCCTGTGTATTACTGTCATCAAGACAAACCTGCGCCTCTGCTGGTGATCGTGTTGTCCACGGACCCGTGCCGTTCTGGTCAACTTGTCGAACCATTATCATGCAGAGGCAGGTGGATGTTGTTATTGTGACCAGATTAACTAGCTTTAGCACCGACATCTTCAGCCCATGATATATCTATAAAGGTGCCCATAAAGTCTCAGTTACATCCTGACAATGACACGCCTGCTCGTTTGGGGCAATGACAGATTGCTGACATGCAGGACACGCTTTTGTGTGTGAGTTTGTAGCAGCGCGCAAAACTCAGGGTTTAATGCCGTGGTCTGTAGTTCATTTCGTACAATGTCATGCTTTGTTTACTAGACTTTGCTCAGTAAAGCATATGTCACAAGATAAAAGAGGCTTTCTCTTTGGATGCTGAAAGAGTATTTCAGCAACAGAAATTTGTTACAGAAATTATATTCTATACTGCCTACCCTTTGGTTTGTCTGTTTTGGTAGTAATGTGTGATCTAGCAAAGTTGGGTTCATCTTCCCATAAGCTATTTGAAGTAGAAGAAGTTTTTTTCTTCTGCAACATTTTTTATTTGTACAGTTGTGAGTATGGTACAGTAATGGACCAGATGGCAGAATATTAGCTACAACTGCCACACTTCAGGCTCCAGTGGCACGGCTGTAGGAAGTTCTGCAGCCGTGGCAGCCTGGTGGGTGTTCATGCCCAAGGAGGTATAGGACTACCACGGCAGTTCGTGTAATGCCATTACAGATAGCACAAGAGGCAGATTTTGCTGTGAGGCGATTTCTTCTACAGCCACCAATCATCCCGGCTTTAGGTAATGCCACCCAGGGGACTGCCTGTGGCCTCCCAACCATGTAATTGTTATTTAACATGGACATAAAGTTGTGGCAGTATCCATGGTGGCACCTGGAGGAACGGCCATAAAGCCTGACTGGGAGGGTCTGGATGGGGCTGTCACAACTGACAACTCATGTCAATTACCTCACTAATATCTACTGGGTTTACGTTTAGACTAGGATAGCCTTTTACTCTCTGTCTTCATTTTCAGTAGTGCCTTGGGTGCAAGTTGTGTTCACAGGCCCAGAATGGATAAAAATAAAGCAAGCAGGATGGGAAAAGGCTAATGCAGTCCTAAGGCTATGTTGCATTGGTAACATTCATATTTGTGTAGGAATCTTTAAATCTTAATTTCTCAGCAAAACATGTCTTTCGGAATGTAACAGGACAAAAGCTTAGCCTTTTATTTTGTGTTTTGGTGGTGGATTCTAAAACAACATAAAATGTATAAGTTTTATCTTGAAATATTCCACCAAAGGTTTGACTGAAAGAAATATTGTACCACATTGGTATAGGAGAACTCATAAATATGTGGCAGAAATAATCCTTACTGTAAGTAAACATCTTACATGTACATAATACAAGAAAATCAGCTTGAGTATACTGCATGGGTAAACCTACAAAGTAGAAAATTGAACAGAAGTCTAAGACAAATCCCCCTTACACATCCTCGGGGAATTGTAGTGGGACTAATAGAAATGTGGCAGCTGGGGTGGGGTCAAGGGCCAACTGATAAGACATGCTGCGTCCCATTCCTGCTCATGTTGGACATGATAAGGAGTGTTTCTGGGACCGCTTGTGGTCATTGATGTGCTGCATTAAGCATGCTCCCTCACGGAATTTGATTTGGTCCATATGAGGCCTGACAATCAAGATGGTAGTGGTGGTGCTCCAGGAACATAAAAGCATGGGTGCCCACCATTCACCTCTACATCCAAAATTCCTTATCAGAATTCTGAACGGAAGGCATATGCTTTAAGGCAACCGCCCCCTTGTGTGTAAGCCATTGGATCTGTAAGATAAGCCTGATCCTTGTGAGGGCTTTCAGAAATCTTATTCACCAAGTTGTTCACAAATTCTCATTGTAGTTGAGCATGGCAGTGACTCATAGATAGGCTATCAGGAGGATTGATGGCTGAAGCTGCTGGGTTTTAGAGCTCTCCCTGGACTCATGAATCTTTTAGTTACTGTTAGACAGGGGAAACTGTTGCTCCACAGTAGCAAACAACTTTCTGGACTTTCTTGTTTCTGTAAATAAACTTTTACCTTGGACAAAGAATTTTTGCCATTGGTATCTTGCTCATTGATAATATTGTAGCATTTAAATACCTCTTTGTTTGCCTTTTCCTGGTGGAAAAAATATCAAGCTTTTTCCCTTTTGAAGTGCATTTACTATGATAGACTTGGCAGAAAAAATGGATCAATAGCTGGGAATTTTCACTAATGTGTACCTTAAACATTGAGAGCTGTAAAGGGGTTCACTGTAAAAAAGAATTCAGATATCTGTTCTACAAAGGTCTGCAAACTGCAGTTGAAGCATGTGCTTCTGACCACCTCTTGACCTACTTCTAACACATTTCAGGAGCTATTAGTGTGTCCTACTGCAACTTAGGCTGGCACATATTTTTTCATTTCCAGAAGTGGACATAAAACTCTATTGACTGATGTGTCACTGCTGGAAGGCTGTAGAGTTAACCTGGCTTCTATTTCTTTGATTCTCTTAACAAATGGCTGCAAACATTGTTCTCCTGAAGATTGTGATAACTGATACATGGACATGCCACAGGACAGGTCCCCTGATGTCACAGATGTGTAACCCCAGTATTCCCATAGTTTTGTACATTGTTGATTTTTTTACTATCTGTCAGGAACAGACCTTCTTACTGTGCTAATCGCCTGTGACTTAGATAAGACATAGCCATCTATGGTGAGACATCTGGGTATATCCCTGCAGCTTAGCTTTTGACTGAGGATAGGCCCATATGTTCCATGCATTTCCCTTGTCTTGAATTGTTGTCAGGTGCCCTGCTGCTCCTTTTACATTTCCACGGTCATGGTCCTGTGTTGAAATTGTGTTAACAGGATATGATAGACATTTCCAACTGTCATCTTCAGCAACAAACGACTGAAAGAAACATATTTGTGCTTTTGGAGGAATATTCTGGATATACTGACCATGTCCGTGGTGCTGAAGTGCTATTATTAAGATGTGATGGCCTTGTCCTTGGTGCTGAAAAGTTGTTACTTAGATAGGGTGGCATTGTCCCTGGTTGCAAAGTTTCCAGAGTATGATTGTATTTATCCAACATGTACCTGGTTATGATATGAAATGGAATCTGTGAATAGAAACTTCTCTAATTTTGGCATTTGTTTCCACTGACTGGGGAGGGAAACTCCTATTTGTTATGGTGTATCACAATGGTACCAAATGCAGCAGCCATAGCCCCAAAGGACTATGCACTAAACTCATGGAGCTTTGAGATGGAAAATGGCTGTCAAGTTGTTACAATAGACCCTTTCCCCAGTGGAAAAATGTGTAGCTTGCATTTTTCAAACTCATTCTTCATGGTCTGCCTGTGCTGAGTTCTTCACCATGTGTCAGGTTTATGTCCAGTCTTCCATCACATACTTATAGATCACTTTTCATGGGCTCAATATTTCCAATGAACATATTGTTGTAAACGTGCAGGCATCCATAGCTAATATACGTTTGATTATCTATATCTCTATTTGCACTTTTTACAGCCGAACTAGTATGAAGATGTATCACTGTATTGACTTCCAATTCAATCCAAAACATCTATCTTGTTGCAGGATATGTTGGTGAGAATGCAGACCCAATCCCAGACAACAATATAGGCAATCGAATGCTGCGAGGAATGGGCTGGTCACCTGGCCTGGGCCTCGGAGCTGAAAACCAGGGGATGACGCAGCCTGTCCGAGCATTCCTTCGGCCTAAAAGGTCAGGCCTTGGACACATGTAAAACCTGAGGGATTTTCAAAATGACATATAACTGGTACATGCCTTCCGACTTGTGACAAAGCTGTCATCTACATTTGTACTATGAAGTAAAGCTTTTTATTACAATTTATTACAACTGGGGGAAGGGTCACCTAAACAACATAACTAACAGGACTGTAAAAAGTCACTTGTTGTCTAGGCCAGCTTACTGGGTAGGTAAGTTTGGTTATTTCTAACATTCTCTCCCTCAGAACGTTCACTTGATGAACAATCTATGAATTCATCAGTAGTAGTCCACATGCATATATACCTGCACTTGCACCAAGACATAAGGATAGCAAACATATTTTTTATGATTATTGGCAATTTCAGTATGACATTAAAATCATTTGTGATGGGAAAATCTGCACACAGGTTAGTTGCATTACATTGTACTTTAGCTTGTGTAGGAATACAGCTGGGTCAAACTAATGGTTTTTCTTGTATACCTGATTTTTTTTCCATTTCAATAATCTTTGATCAATGTTGCAATCATCCTTGGTGACAATGAAGAATTTAATTGACTGAATGTTAACAGAGTCATCAAGTTTTGAACTAGACTAGCTACTTCTGTTTGAGCAAGGAATATCTAGGGTTGCATGATGGAGTTTGTAATGGTTTGGTAAGAAACAATGGACTGTTGAAATGAATCATGTCAATGAATTAAAGCAAAATGTAACACTGTGTTTCCCAAAATGAAACAATGTTTAGCATTTACCAAGTGACTTGTGAGTGGCTAAGACATCTGTGGTAGCTTTGTGCCATGACTTCCAGGGTGCAGGTTATCATGTTCACACAAAGGTGTTATACGTCAATTGTAGTAGGTGTCTAGGAGGTGAAAGTTAGAAGAAATATGTACACTTATGTCAACTAAGGGAAATAATGATACTGAACAAAGCAAAGAACATCTATATGTTGCAAAACAGAAAAGATTGTGTCAAATTTGAAACATTTAGTCATCACAATGTTTGGTGTTTGGTGCCTTAGAAATTGATCTAGACATCATGCCCACACTTAAAAGGTGGCAATGGAAACCATGTCAGAGTGAAATCAGTCCAATGTTAAGATCCAACACCCTTTAGACAAGTGTTACTGCTACAACAGTGAATGGACAGTTGACTTTGTGATATGAACCATACCATGGAGCAATGTGTACCAGTGCCATCAGTCTTCCACCTACGCAAATCTTGGCCAAGAAATATGAGGAGATTTGGTGGGTACAAAGCCGTGGCTTTACTGTGCACAATGACTAAGTGGTTTCAGCATGGGCCAGTTCAGTGGCAAATTGAGTATTGGAAAGGATCGATAGCAATGAGTGCAGGTATCATGTTGGCAGATATCAAATGTGACATCTTGATAGAGTTGCCTATCAACATGTGTATTTACATTGTGAGCACAGTATTACAGCAGCAATAAATACAGAACAAGGAATGTGTAAGTCTCCGTGCTTGGCCGCAGCTTCAGAATGCATGAGTTCCTCCACCACACACTTCTGCTCCCTATCCCTCTGGGCTGCCTTATCTTTTCTGCACAGCACGTGTTGGCTGAATTGATAATTGTCTCGACAAACAAGTCATGGTGTTTCCCCCAGTTCCAGTGCCAGCAGGTGTGGCCTTTGTTTTGATGTACTGGAATTCTAACCACTTCCTTTATTGCAGCTGAAGGGGAAATTTTGCAACCTGTACCTTAAGTTTCTACTGATAATCAAGGCATGCTTGTATTTTCCAGGGCTGGAAAAGTGAGGTTTGGATGGATCCATCATTTCCGCTCAGCTGGTCATCCCTGATAGCGTTATAGATGTTAGGTCTTCATTCCCATGCAGGGTGCCTCCCGGGTGTCAAGCCAGGGCTTAGCATCCACCACCCTTTAATAGAAAGGGTGCCTGACCTTCAAAAATGCTTTTAAAGCTATTGTGTACACAGTGAGGCAGGGATGCCACAAGCATGGTTTACTTCCCAGTCTTGAGGGAGGTGTGGGAATGGGCCTACTGACGCAGACAGGCAGTCTGTGGCCACCACAGGGGAGCACTAACCTGCAGAGATGAGATGAACCACTATCCATTGGCCAGTTTGCATAGAGGGAGAATTAATCACCCCAAATTTTGTAATGTAATAATGGAGCCAGAATCGGTCTGCTAAATGGCCCTTACTAACTTTTGAGCTTGGTAGGCTCCCATCTACCGTTGAGATGTGGATGAAGGTGCAATATATCAATACATCATCATGCCCACTGTATGGCCATTTCCATGCCCAGGCTATCTGTCTTTTCAAAGGTAGTCAGCCATATCTAGAATCTACTTATCCTTAACAGAGAGGACAATGGAAAGACAATTTACTTGGAGGCACATGTATTTGTAAAAACATTTTAACATCTTTCAGCAACACTGAAAAATATACCTTTGTTACAAGAATAGATTGGATATATCTGAGGCAAGTACTATCACCAGTTAATACTGAAGCATACACATTCCTGACAGGTCTACCCTACCTAACATGTTGACATAACGCACTGCACTTGTGCGAAACCCAGATTTTTTTATGGTTTTCATTGGATTTAATATTGCATCAGAAGTTTGCCCGTTGCAGATTTTATGCAAACTACTTATGGGATGTCATCCTTAAATACATGAACACTACTTTAAACGAGACATTCTGTCGAAGTGCTATGTGCAATACATCACAGGTTTTGCACAGGCATAGTATGTTCTGCCAACGCTACCCTACCTGAGTGTAGAGAAAAAACACCTAGTATACAGAAACTTCGGTCTAACAGTTTCCACTTCAAGGACACAATATACACAGAGCACAATAAATATCAGCTCCTCACTGACAGAGACAGATTCTCACATCTACATTAAACCAGCACCCTGTCCATCTGATGAACCTATGTTGTTCCCTCGTCAAACTTCTTCCAAAGAAGTTCTATTGCCTCGATAGCCTCAGATATTGTCAGAACTTCACCTTGCCGCCAGCAAAACAACTCTGCCCTTTTCACTATTGTGCTTGGCTGCAAGACAGCTGCCAGGGACATCCACTGAAAGCAACACTGCTTCTGTCTAAACAGCTCCCAATAAAACTTCACTCTCTGCTTTCCAATATCTGATGTGAGGAGAAAAAATAGGAACATATGGAGTAATAAAATGTCTTACCCCTTATGGATGATATGCCTCTGGGTAACAATATCTGATTGGGATGAATCTACATGACATACATGTAAGATACATGATTATTGTTATGTTCAATTTCCTCTCATCTAGTATACGCCTTTGCTCTAGGAAATTGTTCAACTCTATGACAGTCATATTACTCAATATTTCTAACAGTCTTGAAAGCTCTTTTCTTTTTTATTGTTTGGAAAGGAACCAAGAGATAAATGGACTCGCATTGAGGTTCAAAATGACCAAGCAATGGAAGTATGAATGCATTAACAAGAGGGTATGGAAGGGGTTTGGGTTCCAGGCGGAATGAAGATTGGGTCAACAATACTAAGTTTGCCAAACAAAATGGTCCAGCTTGAAAAGATTTCAATGACTGGAAATTCTCACAAACTGAATAAAAGAACAGAATGTAAAATTTTGATAGATTTTGTAATTACATAATTGAGAAATGTAAAAGCCAAACACTTTTCTGGTCATGTATTTTATTTTGGATCAACACAGGTCCTGATACATGAGTTCATTTGTCTTTGGTGTCTGATGATTGTCAATTAGGAAATACTTGGAAATTTGTCTGTGGCAAGAAAATAATTTCAGCTCCAAGTCCTCCAACTGCTCGCACTTCGTTTCAGTCTGCACTTATAAAGACATCTTAAGTTTTGATAAAATTCTCAGGTTGATGTTTGGTATAAACACTTAAGTATAACTATAAGAGTTTAGTATATAATTCTTAGCTAAAATATAGGTTAGTGTATAATATATACAGTATGTATATGTATATGTGTATACAAAAATACATATTCAATCACATCATCTGCTCTTGTGTAATATTGTACCAGGTACACACTTGTGCTATTGGCTAAAATGGTTCAGAACAACCTTTTTCGACCTATCATCTGACAGCATAGGTTCCTGCAATCTTAAAGAAATGCAGTGTGAATCCTACTGTGTAGCCAGACCAGATGTGGGTGCTACACCTGCCCCTGTAGTACTGACATGACTGCAGCAGTCAGCACCCCTCCCAGGTACATGGCAGGCAGCACCACAAAGGACAACAGGAACAGGATCCCACTTCCAGACAGACCATGGCCACTGGAAAGAAATCAGCAAGAGCTGAAAACAGTGAATTCCTTCCTTTCCAGTATCTAAAGACAACAGTATTATATCCATCCAAAAATCTATAAGGACAGCTTGGGTAAACTTAAACTTGCGCTAACTTGGCAAAATTGAGAAGAAATGTGATTGAGTTTTTCAACCCATGTACAACTGTTTTATCTTGTGTGGGTATTATTTGCACTTATACAACACATATCAAAACACTCCATTTAACACAATGGATAGTCTGAAAAATGATTCAAACCAGGTGCTGATGAACCTATAGGTTAATTTTGATTCTGAAAAGACAGCCACCTTGTGCACCCTGATGCAGTCCTGGCCCCAAAGACCATGATGACTCCACCCAGGTAAGCTGCCAGGCCTGTCACTCCAGGTACAGTACCATAAGCCCCAGAGAAGGATGCTGACAAGAACCCACCCAGGACTGATGACAAACAGAACAGAACCTGGGGACATACAATGGTACAGATATTATTTGTGGTAATTACTTGGTTATCATTCAAACCTTAGATTTGCAAATTTCTTCAATATTCAGTCTACTGTTTTATTCAGGTGAACATGGAATTAGGGATAAAATGTTCTTCAACCATCCTTTAGTAACATCTGCCATGCCTCAGTGTGTAGTTTGACGATACTTTATTCGTATGTGCAGAATTCAGGCACCAGAAGTGCAAAGGGAATAGAAATAAAATCACTTGCTAGAAAGGGCAAAGGAGTAGAGACCCAGTCATGACCTGAGATATCCATTTTCTAACAACTTATTTCAACCCATTTCTTCTTCTTATCCCCATAGTACTGAGATAACAAAGGGACATTTCTTATTATATAGCAAATAATTAGGCTGTGGATTCCCTTGAAAGCCTGATTTCTTAACCATAGAAAGTTTTTGCAACTGTGCAACTAGCTGGTTAAAAGAGGTTTTGTGCAGAAGGGACTGGTGTGCCTTTCAGTAGTATTTTCAGTCTGAGCTCAAACCTTATAACTTCAGATTGGAAGCAGAAGTGTTTTCCACGTATGAATGCAATATATATTACACATCACACTTTGTATCTCGACTTTTTCACATATCAGGCGAATAAATCAGTGTTAATTGTACACATCAGATTGTATCATTAGATTGCATCACTGTTAGTGATGGCTACTGTTATGATATATATTCTTGATGGAGAACCAAAGTCAAAGTTTCACAGTGATGTTCTGCACAGTCACTTGTATGACAGGATAAAACACGATCTTTACAGAACAAAGGGGATTCTGGTACCTGTGCCCAAGCTGCTGGACTCCTCTTGTAGCTCCTGAGGTAGGGCGACAGTCTCTCCATCTTCTCAGTGACCAGGACAAGGGAGGCCAGAGCTGCATAGCTGGTGCTGCTGCCAATGACGTCCCCCAGGGTCAGGACTAACACACCCTGCACACTGCCTGCCAACATGCCTGCACTCACCAGACAGGTGGGAGGGGAGTTGTCAGTACATGTCTAATAACGTTTTTACTAACCAAATAACTAAAGGTTTACTTTGCTGACATTTGTCCTGCACATCATGCACACAAATAAGAAGTGAATGGCAGCTTCTTTCTTGTCATTTATGCCAGATAATCACATGACAAGTACATGGTTGATTGCTCATGTCCCAGTGGGGCTGTCCTTGGTGCTGAAATCACAGTCTCATGCAGGACGAATGCTGACCATGTCAATGTCAATGCCAGTATACCAGGACTAACTTTACTTCTTTGTAATATATATACTTACAGTAGAAAGTTACATATTTGGTAAAACATTCTTGTTATAAAAGAATTGTGTCATCTCCCCTGACATTTGTTGCATGTTTAAACACACATAACATCACCTCAAACAGCAATCCCAAGAGTTTAGAGTACCTCATCCCATCACCATCACATTAAACCTACATCACATTTTTTTGATAATTTTTGTGTAGCAATTGACACTCCATGACGAACTTTACCAAGTTTTTACCTTAAGACTTCATAATGTTTCTGGGCCAGGATGCCACATCTTTATAGAGCTTTTAAGACACAGTTATTACCCCAGCGAGCTCCCCTATTGCTAACTGCAGGCAGGCTGAGTTTTCTCATTTAATATTCTCATCTGCCAATTTAACTGTGGAGCCTTCCTATTTGTATGATAAATGTGCTTTTCCCCTCATAATTATTCCTAAAACTTTTTCCCCAATGTGCTTAGTGACTAATCTTGAATAATTTAGAACTACCTCCTTTGTAACTTTGGAGTGTGCTCAGCAAATTGAAGTGGGGTCCTCGTGTAGATTAACCTAGATAAAGCTACCTGGAACGCTCTCCAACCTAATGGCTTCTGCCAGACCACAATGTCCTTTGCTGCAAAGGAAAAACTGATGAATTGAAAAATATAATGTAATCCCATAAAGAATGGAAGGGGACCAGTGCCAGTGACATTGGTGATACGCACCTGACAGATACGGTGGCCATGCCCGTAGCTCCAGGGCAGATGCTACCGCACTGTTGGGCTGCTGCAAATATCAAAGGGAAATTATCAATTTCAATACTCTCCATGTGAATGAAGGATGAGGCTTTTTGCATAAAATTGTAATGGATTGCATGCACTCAAACTAGTCTCTTACATCTAATTGGCTGCATGTCATGACTGGGAATCACAAGTAGAAAAGAGAGGAAGGCTTCACTTATGCCAGGTAGTTGATTGGTTCTCCCTTGGTACTTTAGGCTCAGGTTCACCAGCAAATGAGGTAATAATGACTCTTTACTTGCCACAAAAGAGCACAAGTTACCAGTGTAGACCCAAAGCCAGGATTGAGGAAATCAAAAGCTAACAGGCGCCACAGTCTATTGATCACATGCAGGGTGGGCATGCAACAGCACAGCCGAGAAGCTGGGAGCAGTGACCCTTACCATCCACGCGTTATGGTAATGGGATATCAGTGAGGCAGCTGAGCAACAATCTCAATCCTCTAATAGCCTCAGCACAGAAAGGACTGTGGAGTGACTGCTGCTTACCGTCAGATCGGACCCCCAGGGCTGGAAAAGCTCCAGTGCGAAGACGCAGGTTGCCAACATTGCAGCAATGGGCAGTGCAGCGACAAAGTAGGGGGTACCAAGGAACTGATCCAGCCTAAAGATGGAACACATGCATCCGTACGAGAGGTGAGTCAACTTTGTTCCATTCTTTTTCACCGTTGAGTTGCTACTCACTTTCTTTGCTAGTTTGCAGTGGAAATACCTTGATTTTATGGAAAACTTGTAAAAAGACGTGATTTAATCTGCTGTAATGTAAAGCCTCCTGTGGCAATTTTCCCAGAGGAATAGGGGCAGGGCTTTCGGGTATCTTCATCTCTTGTGGGAACAGATTGTGTGCCCCTTTTCAACCTTTTAACACCAGGACTGCCCTCCTTGTTGCATATTTATTCAGACCATCTCTATGCATCCATCAATGCCAAAACCTGGCAATGTCCGCAACAAGCAAAGTGGACAGTGGGCACTTAGATGCCCCGATCTCTATACTTGCAGTAACGGCCAAACGGCCAAACTTGCTACTCTACCCCAGAATGGATGGCCTATCATTCAGAAATATCCATTTTCTGCCGGACTGAAATCCATTTTCCGCCGATAGTTGGTCAGTGCCATAATATATTGTGGCACTATTACGCACATTATGAATGAAAATACTCATGCAGGCGCTGAGAGCTTTTTTGCGGATTAATATTTACTGCAAGATGATGCTGTGCAATGGACAAAGTGCTGCAGAAGTGTATGTGGGTAATTACGTGTTGCTGCAGGCGACGGCACCGGGTTTTGAGAGTCTGACCACCGTCAGCTCAACCATGCCGTACAGAAAGGCTCCTGACAGCGCTCCGCAGAGTGTTAGCACTGGAAAGAACACATAGAAAGCCATTTACCTATTTGCCCATTAGGCAAAATTTGTTCACACATTGGAAAACATTTTGGTACCATCCAAAAAGGAAGAAATTGCAAATGTCATTATCCGGAATCATTCAATCAAAGTGTAATAAGAGAAGCCGGATATCTGCACATGTCTGCGTACCTGCGTTGGGCGTTCCTGTCCCCAGTTGGATGTACAGCACCCCTGGGCACTGCGACAACACAGGGGAAAGGTAAATGGACCTTTATCCAGATGCTTCTCCCACCAACATCCCTTTTCCTCCCATGTGAATTCCCATATTAGTATTTGGCTAGCGCTATCATAAATGGGTTCCTATCAAAATCTGCTTAGCGAGAAGCTGCAGGGCAGCAAAACATGCTTAAAGTATCGTAAATATGAAGTTAATCTGCCACCAGCACAAGTCCCTGTTCTTGGTAAGATGTGACCATATTGCTAATGCTGTGCTCATAATTCTGCATTGAGGCAAGTTTAACAATGCACAAATCATAAGAGTGGAGGTAAGTAGCTCTGATCAGCTGCCATGCTAGATTCTGTTGATAAAATCATGGTCCCCTTTTCGTTTCCGTGCATTAGACATACTTCTGTCGAATCAAATTACCATTTGTTGTGCTGCATAAGCCATTCGTGTGCAAGCACACTCGGTTCTCACTAGCTGAGTGCAAAGGATTTGGCTATCCTGGGTAGAGACATTGTGATACTGGTATTGTACCTTATGTCTGTAGCATCCTGGAACATTGTTATGGAATCGTTTTCTATACTTGAAAGCCTGCCATTTGGGTTTCGAAACATTTTGCTGGTATGAATCTTGCCCTGTCCTTGGTGCTGAATCCACATGTTAGTTCTTTTTAATTGAACTATGGCCATCTTTTGAAACATTCACATTGTTCTTATTTCAATACATTTGTAAACCAAATTAAAAGGTTGTGAAGGGAAAAACCAACAAAATGTATGATTTCCCCTATGTTAAGATGCAAGAAATGATCCCTGTGTAAACATATATTTGATGCTGGCTACTATCTATTTGTAGTGGTTATCAAACTTCATTTCAGCATTTTTTGTACAGATGGCTTTGTTTATAATGGAACAAAAAGTATCTAACTGCTCAGTTTCTCATCGAAATAGGTCAGTTTGTAATCTTCACATGTACAAGACATGCTCCGGCTTATGCAGAATTAATCAGTTAGGGTGTCATGATGAAGAACAATTTATTTGTAATCTTGTTAAGTACCTCTGTTCCGCATCATCTGGGGTAACCTAAATGAGAATGATGGTGCTTCCACTGAATTAGGTCAATGTTTCAACATCTGATGGGCAGGAGAGGTGACAGCTCTTATGATCACACTTCAAACAGAACAAGATGATTGAACCATGCACAATCTGATACATGAGTTTGTTGTACGAGTAATGCCCTAATAGCAACAAGAGTGGTTGAGCTATTTTGCTGCATTCCAGCTCAGATGTAATGGTAACTTTTTGCTGCTCCAATATACCAACCAGTTGTTCTGTGCAAAACTGGTATACAGTAGATGCCATATTCAGTGATGCATTATATTAAAAAAGATTCTTATCTTATTGACATTATTCAGCAGTGCTGGGTTGGTCTTTGGAATATGCATGAGTGGCAACACATATGGATACTTTTCATGTCTGCAATACATTTAGTATCTATAAATGCAGCCTAGCCATTTATGTTTGCGTACCATAGACTAGACCTGTAAGCTGAGAATCTGAAGGAATACACGATATTGTAGGGAGTTACACTTGTTGAAATCAGGCAGAAACAAGACTACAAACAGACCTTCCACATAATTGATATTCAGATTTTACAATACACTACATTATGAAGGGCAACAGCAGAACCAGCTGGGTCTAGAGTCCATTTGCTGGCTGGACGCCTTTATCTAGTCCCAGTATACAACCTCAATTCTATGCCTAAACCTTATGAAAAAGTGATAAGACATAGCCAGGGCTTACATCCACACCCTACTCATAATATTAGAATTTCATTCATCAACAACTTTATGGACAACATGATTCTTGCTGTCCTTGGTGCTGAATCCACATGTTTGATTGAACTATAGCCATCTTTTCAAGCATACATATTGTTGTTGTTTCAACAGATTTGCAAACCAAATATTAGTCATTGAATTGAAATAAAACATTTGGTACAAAGAAAGCAAAAGCAAAATTAATTTCTCCATGACAACTATGTGTCAAAGTAAATGTTACTGGTCAGTCCCAGCTCATTTTTCAACTTTACATCAATCTTCAAATCTCTTCCATTTGTTCATGCTTCTGTTTGTTCTTTTCAAATCTAGATCTAGATGCTGAAGGTCTCTGAAGCAATGTAGGCAAAGGTGTGTTCAAATAATGTGACATCAACATACCACAACTCTCTTCAGCAAATTGTCTGCAGTACCTTCAATATCCATACCAAGTGCATTTCAGATTTGCATACATAGATACATGATTAATTTGATTTCATCAGCTACCAAGCTTAAGATAGTAGGGATCTATATGTCAAGCTAAGTAGAAACATCAATGTTTTGTTCCAGAATTAAATCAACTGCTAATTACTATTACACAATACTTTTGTCTGAGCTATAAGTATAACAGAACTCACAGATGCACAGATTGTCATCCCCACACCGTGTATGAATCCACCCAGCCCAGCTGCCAGGACTCCTCTCTTCCCCACAAACTTCCTGAAGAACCTCACCCTCATTTGGTCAAACTTGGGCTTGCCAAATGGAAGCATGCTCACAATTGACATACCCACCATGCCTGGGTGGCAAAAAAACAAAGAGAACTGTGTAAACTTAGTACTATAATACTTTAAACATGAAATTCAATGATCTTATAGTTCTCCAATGGCAAAATACATGATTGAAGCTTAATACAATTGGGAGAATAAAAGATACTTTCTAGTAGTCTATGGCAATCCCAAGAGAAAAATACTGTTAGTCACACATTTTCCATTTTGCACTACACAGAGACATGTTTTTACATGGATTAGGTACTAATCCATCTGTAGAGATTAAGCACATGCTAGAGGTGCAGAAGACCTGGCAGGGAGACGCCTGATTTATTTGATGTTTTGGTTCCTAACATGCAATGGGATGAAGGATGTGACAGGTGTGCAAAGGTCCACAAATTGCAGAATAAAATCAAAGCAAAATTGATTTTTCATATGGTTTCTAACCAGTCCAGATTATCTAGCCTAGATCAATCCTTCTAAGGTTTCAGTCTGCTCCAACTGTTGCAACACTTGGAGTGGACTTCACTACTATGACTGATAATTTTACTTCCACCCATTTGTCGATCTTTCCTTCAAAAGCAAAGGAATTTAGAATTTCTCAAACTAGAACAGACAAAAAAGTGTTTCAGATATATTTTGACTCTTACATTATTTTCAATTTTGTTTTAACACCAAGACGAGACCAAAGAAACTGCTGCAACTACTAGTAAGATGAACCTGTATGCCTGTGGTATCAACATTTAATAATACTTTTAACACCGAGCAGATTATTATTGGAATGAGCAGAGCACTTTGGACTAATGCCTCTGACTATTTACAGCTTAGAGGTACATATCCAATCTTTTGTCAAAAACTTCTCTGTTACATAGCGGATTATAATGACCCCCAGCGGGGGTCTTCACGCTTCGTTAAAATTGAAAAATCTCAAGATTCATTCTAAAGATCTCAATATTTTAGACGAAATCTTGAGATCTTATAAGACAATCTTGAGATTGTTCATGACAATCTCCAGATCTTTCAGAAAATCTTGAGATGAAAATAAAAGGTCTCAAGATCTTTCCAAATGTTTTCAAAGTATCTTGAGATTTTTCCAAAGCATCTCGAGATGCTTTAAAAAATATCAAGATTGTTTAAAAGATCTCACGTTTTTTCAAGATTGCTTTAAAAATCTTGATATTTCTTAAAGCATCTCGAGATGCTATGGAAAAATCTCAATATACTTTGAAAACATTTGGAAAGATCTTGAGACCTTTTCTTTTCATCTTAAGATTTTCTGAAAGATCTGGAGATTGTCATAAAAAATCTCAATATTGTCTCATAAGATCTCAAGATTTCGTCTAAAATATTGAGATTTTTCAATTTTTAACGAAGCGTGAAGACCCCCGCTGGGGGTCATTATGATCCGCTTTGTAACAGAGAAGTTTGTGACAAAAGATTGGATATGTACCTCTAAGCTGTAAATGGTCAGAGGCATTAGTCCAAAGTGCTCTGCTCATTCCAATAATAATCTGCTCGCTGTTTTTTGTTTCTATTATCAAGTCCAAAATATTACTCTGCCACTGGCTAAGAATCACATATCTCCTTAGAACAGCCAAGGTCTATGTTTCATTCCTTCCAGCCTACACTTTGATATATTACACTACCTCATGTATCTCAACAGCCAGGATGTTCCTCAGTTTCTGTTCCTATGCATCTGAAATTACAGGACTTAGCCAACAGATTTAGGAAGAACATACACATTTCCAAAAATAATCTCCATCCATTTATCTTCCCTTCTATTTTGTGTAACATTGTACTCATTTTAGCACACCCTCTGACAGAGGGTAAACCAATACGGTACACTAGTGCAACTTTTGGAAACCTAACACCTGGGTGGCCTGCCTGAGTGTCCCCATGTGTGAAGCAGCTCTCCTCACAGATAGTTCCATCAATCAGCATTGGAGGAGGATCGATCAGGGGCATCCTACACCATCATTCATACCCACCTGTTGCCACTGCCGAAAGGAACATCTTCAACATGATGAAACGGCTGAAGCTCATCTGGCCTCGGACAGCGGCCGGCTCAAACACTGCCCAGGGAAATCAGACAACAAGCTGTTAGTGATTTGGAACATGCTCCATCATTGGTGTCAGTAGGAGGCCAATACTTTCCCTTAATTACAGATGGATGGCTCATCAGCCTCATTTGTACCACTTAAAAGCTAGATCACCATCTGGGGACTTCAGGAGGACAACCCAGAAACAAAGGAGTCTAAGCATTTATCTTCAGGTAAAGTTCTGGCATCACTTTCTTCTTGTACCACTGTGGCTTTCAAAGGATCTGACCAGCACCTACAGAAGTGTAACATCATGATGTAAGGCTCAATGGATAAGAGATTGAGCTGCCAGCTACATCAGTCAGAAGTAAGATCCTGGGATTCAGCCCTTGTGGGAAAATGTGTCAGTAGGAGAACACACACAAAAAAAAACTTTTGCCACAAACAATGCAAACTGTTTTTTTTTTTTTTGGTATAGTGTTCATACATGTAATAGCTAATGGTTACCAAAAATATCAGCCAGGTTTAAAAATATATTGTTAAAAAAAATTGACTTAAATGAAAAATTAAAAAGAGGTATCTGGATATGAATTGGCTGTTCTAATATTTTTACTTTGCATTTCAATGATATTATGCCTGCTGCAGCTGGCCAAAAATACATTGGCTTTTTTTTCTTACTGACACACTAGAAAAGACCACTTCGTTCCCTGTTCCTTCAGTAATCATCCTTCCATGTATGTAACAATATACGGAAGATGCCACAATGTCTTCCCTGTTCTGGAGAAAATCAGAGTGGTCGTACGTGGAGTGTTTAAAGTGTACATGACTTCCCAGCCCTGATGTGGCTGCCAGGATGGTGAACAGGGCATGCCGATGGTTTACCTTGGCTGTACTTTCTGCTCCACCTATTGTTGATAGTCCCCAGCATTCCTCTTGACAGCTTGTATTAAACTAGGCTTAAGAAATATGCCCAGGGTGTGAACAAAAAATTTGGTCATATTTCCACCTTAATTCCCTTTGTTTTTCCTCTTGATCCAATAGAGACTAGTGGTCAATAGCCTAAAAATTATATCAAGAAAGCAATCAAATTGCAAATGAGAGCTGTCAGAGACATGCCCAGTAATACCAATAGGCCCATGGTCCAATTTTGCTGGAAGTTCCCAGTCACACATGTATCCAGACTATTAGACAGGCTTCTGGATTTGTTTTGATGGGAAATACATTATTCTGTGGTGAAGTTCTACCGGCCATAGCAGGACATCTCCCATACATAACTTTCCATACCTGACATGCCGTGACCACATCAGCACATAATGCAGTTCAAATAAGTGCCAACCCTACTGAAAGGTATACAACCTTAATAACAGCTTACAACTGGGTGGACTGCAGATCTGCAAACTTTGCTGCTTTTCTTTAAATGTCAGATCTATTGATTCATGCTCACCAGCAGTAGATAAAATGGACAGACACATGAATTTTACAACACTAGGATTTGAAACAATTATCAAGTTTAAATGGCATGAAATTGCAGCAATTTTCTAACACACACCATAATCCATTAAATCTCTGGTCCATTTCAATATTTACAGCAACAGTTCAAAAGTTTACAATAATATTGCTTCGTACAAATCAATGTTGAAAACACCTTATGTAACATTTACTTGTTATTTCCTATGCCAGACCAGAAGCTGTAGCCTGTAGCAATTCTGTGATGACAACTACTTACAGCCAGACATGCGCAGTAGCTGTACCATGAACCAGTGTTACTTTCATGTGACACAGGAACATATTTTCATATTTTATTGGACATTTATAAATGCCAAAAATCTGATAGTTTTATCTAAGTGGACTGTGTTTAATCAGCTTTTTAGCTTGATTGGACATTCTGATATTATTTCTTTGAACCTATTAAAATTTGACATTTTCATTTGGTCACATTTTTAACCCAATGCAAATTCTATTTGTTCATTACATTGATTCAATGCTATAAAACATGGTCCCCAATGACATAAGATTTCCAATTACATGCAGGCAATTAATTAGTGGACAATGCCATTTACCAATTGCAAGTTCAGTTTATTAGGTTCATTCAAGTTCAGTTCACTTTGTATAACCCCAAAATTTTCCCGCACACCGAGATATGAAGAATCTTGGGGACTACCTTTTAAATCACTGCTTCATTTTCCTTATATGAATTAAGAACCGCCCCCTCCTTTTCTGAAATGCAAGCATGTCAGGCAGCATTCACAGCATGCCTCTAAGTGCAAAGCCCTTTACAGCAATCTGTATGTTGCTCCCATGCTGCTGCATACCCTTTTTTATGGAGTTCAGTCCGGCCATGGCATTTTAGTTATCTATAAGGTACACATACATTCAGCTGAGATATTTATTTTCTTCTTCAGCATGCTGTGTTCTAACTTTTCTTAGTTTTGTCATCCCCCGACCAACTGTTGGATGGGAGGCTGTGGTTGTCATGGAAATAGAACTGCCCCTCCCAGTTCTCTTTGGTTAATTGACATGTAACCCGATGCTGTAAAAGGAAGTCATCACTCTGGTGCTCTCCCCATTTCACAGGGCCACAGGGGGTACATTCCACCTGGGGAAGATGTAATTAATGAATATCAGAGTAACAAATTACCCACTAAATGCCCGTAAATAGCCCTATTTGATAAAAGTATGGAAGGTCAGCTGCCTGGGTCATGTTACATGATGAGAACTGTTTAAGGTCCTGTATTATTAATATTGAGATTAGGTTTCCAATGTACATGACTGGAGCTCTTTCTGTAGCAATTAAAGTTTCAAAGTGCCAACTAGGTGTGGATTTACTGGGGGCCTTGCATGCATTTATAACACCTTGCAAATCAGTGCACAGCCAAGCAGAAGAGACAGGTGACCAGCATAAACCTGGATCATGCACCATCTGGTGCTATCTCTATGGCTCTGGCTCCTCCTAATCTCTTCCTTTAATTCAAGAGAAAAATTCATATCGTGACAGATCCTCCAAAAATATGTGTTCGTGCAAATAGAAATGACAAATGCATGTATTCATAAACCATAGGTAGAAGGTGCATACTGCATTTGAACAGATATTTTAGATTTCTCAACCAGCACATGTTTATTAATAAATGGGCTATCTGGGTGAGACCGTGTTGACAACTTTACTCTGTGGTGTAAAACTGCTGTTAATGCAGAACAAAGCTTGCGTTTTGGAGAACTCCGCGAGGGGCTGAAATATGCATGGAGCTATTTGAAGTCACCAGCCCTTTTTGCCATATACTGAAGCGTGGCCAATAGGGGATATCCAAGGACCAATGATCCTCATAAGCCCTGTCATTAAACAGGTGCACGATTCACTCTAATCCTTCCTTGAGCATGTCACATCTTTTGTTGACAGCTCCAAATTACATGTATGATTCATAAACGAAGAAGCTTGTATGCTGTTGTGGTATCATGTAACATTATTCATCATTTAGCCAACTGATTTCATTGACGTAGATAATTTCGAGATGTATAATTCATGGGAAGGTAATCAAAGGGATGTCAGCTTATTAAAATTCCTAATAATACACTCTACTTCAATCATCTCCTCTGAGCAGCTACATTAGATATTGTGTTGTACGCGTTTCTGCCTGGATGTAGGTACAGACAGCGGGGGATTTCATCTCATCCACTTCATCGCTGATGATGGTTAACAAACACATCAAAGTCTGTTCATGCCAACTCCATGTCTCTACAAGTTTCCTACTACATAATTTATGTGGGTCCCGTATACACATTATTCATGCCTGTCAGATAGAGATAGTGGACGGTAGTGCTCATCTCCGTATATGAATTGGAGGGAGGATCTCTTCAAATGCATGTTGGGAGGCATCCTATCCCCAACTGCAGAGCCAATGACCCCATGGGAAAACCACCCCAGTATAAATCAGCTCCCTGGGCCTTGACCCACTGATAAATATACAGGGGTTCACGACCCACATAGGCAATCAGCTGCATCATTGGGGAGCCAAAGGTTCATTCTCCATTCTGAGCAGAAGTTGGCTAGAACCAAGGGAAACTGCCCTTCCTTCTGAACCAACCCTGCAGACTTCCCTGTAACTGTGTAAGTACAGTTTACTGTTTTCACCTTCTCCGAGCCTCTATTACACAGGCCACATCCACAGCAGCACAAGACACAGTTGATGTAAAAAACTGATTTTACTACTCTGTTTTATCACTTGATTTATCCTTCCCATCAGGCCATGTGGACTGCTATCTCTGTCGCCATTCAGAAGAAAAGTTATGTTTGTAATTACATGTGTTTGGATCTGCTCATTAAGTGTTAAAGTGTCTAATTACGATGGCTGTGGTAACATTTCTTCCACAAATGCCAGCATTAAATCTTCCTGAATGGTTGGTTACTCTTTGAATATTCAAGCCAGGATAGAAACATTACACATGCCTGATCTTTAATAAAAATTTTCCCGCTGAGACAGGGAAATTGTTGGGATTACTTAGAATTATTCAACCCATGAAGATATTGATCCATCATTTTTATATGTTCTAACCAATGAAATCCTCTTCACTTATTTATGGTATACCTGTGGTGCTTTGTGGTAAAACAATATCATTAAAAGTGTTCAAGTGTGACTTCTAGATATGCCCTGTCCAATATTTTGGGATAAATGGCAGGCTTTCTGCTCAGTCATCCTCATTGATTGTGATTTTTCTTCATTTTCACGTTATTTCCCTGTCCATGAAATTTTAAGGAGATGATCATTAGGTGTAATTTTCACTTGCATCTCTGTCGGATTGGGTATAATCCCTCATTGCTACTGATACACATCTTTTTGATGAAGCACTAGATTTGTTTTTCTACAATGGTTCTTAACACCATCTGGATGAATCCATCATTTTTTACAGCTGGTTGTGAAGTACGACTTTTGCCTTGGCATTTCCAAAAATATTCTCAAAAGAGTACGTGTACTAGACTAGTATGTTCCGCTGCAGCAATACGTACATCGCTCATTTCCCATATGTCATGTCATCACTGCTGTACCCAGTTAAAGATCTAATATTGGAAGTCAAAGGTTTCGTGCCACCAATCTTTGGGAGTAAGATATTGGCACTCCCCGGGGACACATTTTGCTAGAGCTGCCCCTGGCGAGAAAACCCTGCATGTTTTTAGCACAGACATTGTGCACGAGAACTTTTGTGTCATGCCACTAGCCATGTGGCTCCAAAACATAAAAGGATGTCTCCTATTTGCAGCAAGAGGCACCTTCATAATGTCTGGTGTCAGCATGAGTTTCAGTGTGAGCTGTAGATAATAAAATCTGCAAAAGTATAATGTAGTAACCTCAAAATGCCCTATATAAACTGAATACCATATACCGGCATTTTCTCAAAGATTTTGTCATCATGTGTAGGACTGATATCTGGCATTTATTTGACAAAGAAAACTGGTCAAGATTTCTTTTCATTTTGTATATGGTCAACCCATTCTTAATTGTTGGGTTTAACACCTGTCATCCATATACTCATCCTGCGCATAATCAATGATGAGAAAATACAAGACAGAAGGTCCTAATATGTATATCCCACCCATGGGTACCTGAACATCTGTGCAACTCTAATCAAATTACAATGGCTTTTTTTTTTAATTCTTACCTCTTCCTTTTTCCACTGCAAAACCAAATGTAATCCCAGCCAGCACACAGGCTATCATGCTCAAAGCCGACTTCCGTGAACTCAGCTCTTCGTCTCCAGCTATCTTTTCGTCACCATCGTTCCTTGCGTTGCCGCTTTGTTGCTTAGCAACTCGTTGCCGAGACATTGCCTTGTTGTCCATGATGTGCACTCCCCCTATTACAGTAATAGGTGAAACACCTGTAATGTCTTCAATGCAATAACGTGAAAGTGTGACAGGTTAAAACAGATTCATCAGCCTGTCAAGGCAAGTTTGGAGAGAGATTCATCATTGCCTCTCAGAACCAAGGGGATGTCCATGAGGAATAAAGGTGCCACTAAGGGTTCAATTGAGTGTTGACAAGGTGCTGGAATGAATTCTTTCCTGCAGGGTTTATCACATTCAAAAGGATAGTGCAGGCTGGTGGAGGACTGTCTTGTAACAATATCAGACAATGGATAGCTGGAAAAGAATACATGGAAAGTGTAGTACATGTAATTGTTCTCTTCATTTACATACTGCGTAAAGGTCAAAATTGTCAGGAGACTACATGTCTTGTTACTGTGGCCAATACACTTAAATATCAAACACAGATATGAAGTTATTTGGCTTGGGACAACTGCAGTGGGAATATTAGAAATAGTCTATTGAAAATGCAAACGTAACCATCACCAAAGAGCAGCATACTGTTTTCCAATACTTTGCCTCTAGAAAAATGAGTGTAATCTGATTGCAAATGATTGCTTGCAGCCAACAGGAATGAATTACACGATCAGCCTACATCAGAATTTCCATGGTAAATGGACAGAGGTCTGCCTAAGTGCAATTGTGGAGGAAAGATCTTTGATGCATAGCATCATTCAAATCTGGTGCAACCAGCTGAGCAAAAATGTGCCATTCCTAGCTGTCAAACCGCTTATGGATACATTGAAACCTGTAAGGCCTATGCATGACTTCCTACACAGGAGCCTTTGAGCAGAAATAATTCTGTATCACCATAAGAAGAATGGTGCACTGGCTGAAAATATACTTCACTCTTTTTATCCTTTAATGGTTTGTGGGGAAATAGTCATCTCTTCGTGGTCCACACAAAAGATATCTATGGCTTCTGATCAATTTTGGATTAAGATTTGACATTTAAAGTATGGGTCTGGACACATTTGTATACAACAACAATTTTTTTTCAATGTAGCTACCAGGCAATACTTTCTCTATGCTTTAAACTTTTCAAAATGAAACGACCATTAACATCCTGGGATTCCATGTCCATAATATCACCTGAGGGTCCATAATATCGCCATCTTGAGAAATAGTGTGCTTTAAGATATTTTTACTGCAACATACTTTTGGTATGCACTCCTGCACACCTGAAATGTACATACCTAGGGTATGTTGCGGTAAAAATATATTTAAGCACACTTTTTCTCAAGGTGGCTATATTATGGCCTATGGTGATATTATGGACACAGATGTTATACTTTATAGAAAAAACTAGAACCAAAATAAAGATCTATTGAGAACACACTCAGTGCAGACCAATTTTTCATCAAAATGGCATGTTATTCTTACATTGAATAGACAGGAAAATTATTAAAATATCACATGAGAATAGGCATTCGTCACTGATGTCAGATTTGATTTTAAGCACTGCAGAATTGCCATGTCTTAAAATGAAGTGACAATTTTAGAATTACTTAACCAGACTTTTATTTCCCTTCCTTTCTGTCCAATTTCGTTCGAGCTGGGCCTCTTTTTCCATGTGCTTCACAAAATCATCTATCAGCAGCTTGAATTTCTGATGCAGGGGATTCAATTTCCACTTTATCACAGGTATCAGAAGCCAGACCATATGTTCCTGGTGAGCTCCAGAGCACGATCTAGTTGCAGGGCACATTTTTCACATCATTATTCACTTCCCTGCCATCTAGAAGTCTGGGAATACCTCAGATTATTTGGCTTGAAAAATACTGACATAATCAAATTTATAATACTTTACAGCCTAAAATTTGCCTTTAAAACCAAAATAATACAAGTCAGTATGTACCAGGCAAATTCTAATCACACATCATAATTTCACCTAACCAACTGTGATAGAAAAATTTCTTGTAAAATGGAAAAATCTTTTAAAATCCCTATAACCATTCTTACCTGATGAAAAGTGCAAATTCCTATACTACACCCTTAAAGCCCAAGAAAATGCTTTGCCACCATTTCTTTATCTTGCCTTAATCACCTACATGGATATGATGGCTGAGCTTTCGAGGATTCATCTGTCAGCTCCATTACAACCACAGATTTAGAAACCTTATAAAATAAGTTCAAGTCAATAAACTGATTTACCATGGGTATTTCTGACATTTAAGGAAATTTTGAAATGTCGTTTCAATTAAGCACACTGCCACAACAATCCAGAAAGCCAGGTACTATATGCTGTGCAGTGCATGTCTTGTTGGTGGCTTGTGGTACTTTATAACAAAATCTGAGCTTATCAGAAAATTATTTCCACCACTCAGAGTACCACTAAGAATAGCTTTAAGGCAGAACTTAGAGAGGACCTCTGCTTTGCTCCAATGCCGCTGTCTCTTTTCTCCACCTTGTGAGTGTAGGCTGCATTGCAGTGTCATGATCATGGTGTTACTTGCTTGTTTGGTGTTAATTAAGCATTTGTACCATCATGTACACCGTGTTTATGTAAATTAGCGAAATTGGAGGACTTTTATTCATTCTGAAGATTTGTCAAATTTACTTTTAAGGAAAAATAAAAGTCACAACTTCTGACTCACAAGAGTGCAAAATGACTATTCCTTGTTAATGACTGCTTCTCACAATAGCTCTCAATGTTAAGTAACAACAATATGTGTTGAATAAAGGCCTTTGCAACATAGTGGTCCTATTCATGAGCTTAATAGACAATACTTATATCAAATTTGTAAATTAGAATCCTTCAGTGATATCCTCTTCTTCAAACTAACACAGTGTACTTAGCATACAGCATATGGTTACCACTCTACTTACGGGGCAGGTGAATGACTTTACCTGCATTGCCCCAGGCACTACGGATGCCAGGTCATTTTTATTCACAATTAGCTGGGTGTTCCCTACTGTCTACACACAATAGTCTATCAGATCTGCACGTAGACACAGGAACACACCTTCATGAATACCAGCATCTAAAGAAGCTAAATGTCAAATACATTTGATTTAAAGAGTTTGGAACCCAGGCTATTTTGTAACCAAGGCTTTGTCAGAAAGGGCAACAACAGGTGAGACAATACAAATGTGTTCCTATGGTTCATCAGGTCAGCTAGTGTGGCTGTTGCTAGGATGTGTGCAGGGAGGGGGGGGGGGCAGGGGATTTAGTATACCTCTGAATACTGTACCTGTACATGTTTTGATATTCATTACTCCCTTAACATTAGTAGTACCTGTCACCACAGATGTTAGAAAATAATAGTTATGACTCTTAAGTCTTAATCCATGCCTATGAACGAAATATGTAGATTTATGCTCCTAATGTCACACACCAAGTAACATGCCTAGCCCCATGAGTCATGGAATTGGGGACACTCACATTTAACAAAACAGCAATACCATGTAGCTTGTAAAACTTGCCATACATATATGTATATCAACATATTATTCTTTGTCAACATGTTGCCAGTCAACTAGAATAGAAAGGCTTTGGCAATCATTCAGTTAATATGACTTATGAAGATTGATTCTACTTTCAAATGTAAGGGTTGATGCTTAAAAAGAAAGACTCATGAGAAGCATTTGTTATTGCTCTTTAAATGTGACTCTTCAATTTTTTTTCCTTTACACATGTCATGTTTCTCATTGCTAGTATTTAGAACATGATAAATACAATTTAAAAATGTTTCCAGAGCTCATGCAAATAAGACCCTCATTCGCATGAATTACTAGTAATATTATATTCGCCTCTCAATGATGCCATTCTAGCATTTTCTCATAAATCATGCATTCATGATTTGAATAAGCTATGTTTTAGTTTAACTCTGCTCTGGATATTCATACAACTGATTAAATAGTCCAACCTTACTGCAATTACAGTGTGACTTGCTGTGATCGGCTACTTTCATTGCAAGGCTATCCAAACAAATAAATTTTCTTTGCAACAGTTTGGTACCTCATAAGGCAAATGACCTCTGACATATTATGTAGAGATCAGACAACATTGTCAAACATGCTTGCAGTACATTATGTAGCTCTAACAGCAGCTTGTTGTCAATAGCCTCCAGGATCTCACACTGTTGTGTAGCCAGATACAAAAGTATTCCAATGCTTGGTTCCAAGCTTGTCAGAGAGAGTGAGTTTAGTGGTATCAAGGCTAGACATGACTATACATTCACATAATGTACTATTCTTTATTGCTAATCAAAGGTATTTGTGTGCATAATACCTTATCATATGTGCATGGCAATAAGTGGATCTTAGTACCCCCATGTCCTTCTTACTCCATCGTACCCCTGTGTGCAAGTATTAAATGGGGAGAGTATCAACAAGTTCAGTATAATCAAGGACTTAGAGTAAGGGTAACTTATCCCCCCACCCCACCCCCAACAAAGAACTGCTGAATAACTTGTCAAATTTGTGAAAGGTGTATGTTCAACATATTGCATCAGTATAGATCTGTAAACACGGCAAAACTTGCTGACTAGCTCATGGTCGCGATAGTCCCTCAGTTATCCTCAGGTTGGAAGGGTCACCTCACGAGTCACCAGATAATGTGAAAGTGGGTCATGCATATGGCTGTTGCATGTTGGTTGTGACCTTCAGTTTCAAACGCATGTATCCGGGCCATGTGGGTTATGTGGATGCTGGCCATTACACACCTTGGGAACAACGGTGGTTTTGGACCTACCTTGTGTAAGACGAAGTCAGAGTTACCGACAGCGCGAGAGTGTCGTCTGCTGAGTGAAAGTTCAAGCGCATATTTACCCAGCATGCACGTTATTTGGATCAAACCACTGTGCTCCTGGGGGTTCTTTTACGCGCTTCAGTGTGCCTAAAAATTTCAAAAGACGCGTTTTGACTTTCTGGATTAGCATACTGTCGATTCTATTTTCTTCCGTGTTAAGACTTAGGATTCAACAGCAAGCGATATAACTGTTGACAACATGATACGGCCCCTGCCGGAAAATAACGCCAGAACGAAGCAACTGGATAGAGGGGGCGTCGCGTGCTCCTACCTCATATGAGGCAGGGCCGGATGCTGTGGAGAGCGATGGAGGAGTTTCGTGACGTTCGACGTTAATACAATGCCTTTTACACCAGCACCTGCTTGGTGTACAAGCCTGATTAGCCCAGATTCATGGGCAGTTTCACAAACTTCTGAGTGAACACATGATCAAAACTTAAGCCTCGTTATGTCCAGACCGTGATATCAGCTTTGGGGTGTTTTATAAGCTACCACCAGTATGGGCGAATCAATAGACTAGACGTAGTTTGTGAATAGAAATATCAATCCATTGTACACTTTCTAACGTGAGACGAGCTGTTGTTTTATCCGTCCCGTCCTGTTCAATTATCATACAAGACGGTGACGACGGACATATGACGCACGTATCACATTTAGATTGAGTAAAAATAGCGGACCACGATTATTTTGGGGTGCCACACCAGTGCGGCGATTAGTTGAGGAGTTGTAGCCTCTAAGTTACATGTCATGCATTCCCACCATTGACGTCTTTGGGGTTCATATGGCTATGACCCTAAGATTTAGAAGGGGTGTATTTATTCGCCTGTTTATGTAAGCCAATACTTGGATTACATCGTGTACGTAGCGCTCGGCCTTCAGTAGATTTCACTGGCAACCTACAGGGACAAACGTTGAATTCGCAGCTACGGTAAGCTTTTGGTACAACTAATCTTAACCTGTACTATATGTTGCACTTGTTCAAGAATTATCAATAAATAGCCTTTGGCTTTCTTGGCTTTCACGGGGATATACAAAGCAGTCCCCAGTTGCTTTTGGCTTTACCGAATCGAATAAGTCTTTGTCATTTCACGTATTTTGTTGTTTGTATACTAGTAATATTCTATATCATCCAACCTAGCTTATGGTTTGTCGTGTTGATTTTGAAAGTCGAACTCCCCTGATTTGAAACATAGCAATCACCTGTCCTACTACAAATTCATGCCATTTATCTCAGCGCTGCGTAAAATCTACACTACCATGCCTATATATGTAGATATGTGTACCCTCAAGGCATACTCCCATTGAAGACAAAAATTTATTTGTATGGTTACCATCACTTCCTGCTGTCAACTTCTGAGTAGGCCGCATGCCGACAGATGTGCTCAAGGGTGAACTGTCAAGTTCATGTCTTTTTTGGGAGGGCTGGGTGCACCAGCAGCGTAATTTAGAGGGGCCGTACACAGAGCAGGCTGTTACCGGCGCCATGGATGTCCCTCTAGACATGGCTGGGGTCCACAGGTCCAGAGCATATGTCGTATTTTGTCTCCGGTTGCAATTCAGAAAACGCAACCGAACGCGATTAAGCGACTTCGCCGAGTATTTCAAACTCGTGTAGCATAATCCGATCTCCTTCTTTTACCCTAGTGTTGTCTTGAGTTGCCGATGGCACTGACCCCTAGAAGCGGGCTGGCACTTTCCTGGTAAACTGTCGTGTCGTGCGTGACAGTCTTCCTGTTTCCTGTCCAACATGAATGATTTGCAGTTACTGGTATTCAACTTGTTCAACAGTTAGGATGCGCACGTGTTGGTCTAAGACAAAATGCGTTCTCTTGTAAGTTAATCACATTCATCTGTGTTTATATCTGTCTGGCATAGACTGTCGTCATAGATGTTGCCCTATCACCGATTTACGTCATTCTTGTAACCACGTGCTCGGTCCTATCTTCAGCTCAATTGAGTTATTTTGAGATGCGCCTGACTGGCCACGTCCTCATATTGCACATATACCACCACAAGGCCACTTTTACCCATTGGACGACTTTCACCAACTCTTGTTCTGGTGAGTATGGCTTTCCTTTGTGAAGGCATAACCATTGGCGACAGACAAGGTGTGCTAAATACTGCTACTGTTTTGTTTGGATAATGTCAAATGTTTTTACTTGCTTGCCGGTTATAAGCCTCGGAATTCGCCAGACAGTTTGTTGGTCAGAAGCCAAACCTTGGTCAGAATAAGTAGGTTAGCCTACAGGGTCCGGAGCTGGAAAGATATATACAAACTTCGTGTTGGAACCGCGCATGCGTGTGAGAACTGACATAATCGTGGAAATCCTATCCACACAATGCTTCAGATCCAGATTGATCACTACATCATGTTGGCAGTGATTGGGAAACTTTAAGGACTTGTTACAGCATTTCCGTTGATTCTAACGGACATCCCTACGGATGAAAGCTATGACATCATTAAAGTGGACGGGATGTTCCACTTACTGATCTCCGTACAATTATGCAATGCACAGGAGTTCCGTTCAAAGTTCATCGAGAGTCACATGATCTGAGCTGTAAGCGTCCTATCGCGGCCTACTCAGGTTTGCGCCTTTTTATATGATGTGTACACGGTTATACATAAGGGCTTCTTCTCGGTCGAAGCCAAACAATTAAATCTGCAACCCTATCCCAAAGCATCGTATCATGTATCGTTTGCGTACAAAATGTTTCACTAATCAGCTGTACTATTCTTTGATTTTCTGTCCTCTCTCTTTCTTACCTCCACCGAAATTACGCATGACCGTCCAGTTAGTTGCCTTGAGTAAAGAACTGATCTCTTGAAACGAAGTGGCAACGATCGGAATAACGCATATGGTCGTAATCATTACACTATGCTGGGGATCGATTTTTTGTCTTGCTAACTAGCATCCACACCAGCGCGTGTGACAAAGGGTCTTGGTTTACGAATGGGCATTGGATTTCCAGCTTACTTTGTCTTGGGTATTGTCACAGATGAGAGGAACGCTGCGATAATGACTTGGACACCGACAAAACAAAATTACAGATACGTTGGGTGAAGTGTCGGTAGTAGTGCAGTCAAACTTCGAGTGCGTGAGTACATGGCGTTCGCCGATGGATAATACACATTTTTGCAACCGAGATACGGCTCCCTGGAAAGCTCTCCCCAGCTGAGGCCGCCTCTGCATCGGAAGTCCCTCTTGTTTCTCGGGAGGCCTCGGTCGGCGCTCGCATCAGCTGCATAGTTCCTTCACTGATTGTGTCTTTACACGCGATTCTTCCCGAGACACAGGGCAGCATACTACACACCGATACCTGGGGGACGGCTTTGCTGCTGCTGCTAGTACCAACCCGGGAAGGAGGGGCACCATTACATCACGGATGCTTTTAGTATTCATTTGTGATCTTGTGACTGGGCTTTAGTTCAACTGGAGCGTGTGATGCGTACAGCAAGGTGACAAGTCACGATTGTTTTATTGCTTTATGAACTCAGGTTGCTCCATAAGGGCACCACAGGGGCCTAAATTAGTGAAATGTTTTGGATTTCCGGGTCAAACGGCCACCGCCTGATTAGAGCCTTCGTTATTGAACTGCTCATTCCTGTAACGCCGCTCTCCTGCCCACCTCCCAGCTCTCATCAGTAATCGTTGTGATCGCCACTGGGTATTCCAGTCGTCCATGATCCGTGTACTCTCAGATTAGCCTTGGACTATTCGTTTTCAGGCAGCTCCTGGGCTGTTCCATCTTGTAACATTAACATGACTATTTTTCATGGGATTGTGGCCCTTCGGGGGCCGTGCCCGGTAAATAAATACGGGTGGTTTCTGCTCACCTAATTTTGACTTTCTTAGATATCAAACTAGACTTGAAGATAGCGCATGTGTGGTAGGTAGACAATAGAAACCCCCTCAGAGATGACAATTATGACCATTTGTACTCTTCCGCAGTGATAAATTTATAGTTTGTAGTATTCCCTGTATAAATAGACTTTGGCCTATGCGGTTGCCACGTCCTGCATGTAGTACGTGACCAAACAAATGTGAAATATGTGTAATTTGTATGCAGTCCCGGTTTAACTCATGGTCAAGGGTCTCGCTTGACCTGTGGCCATGACCCTTCCTGCCATTTCCCCGACATTTGCATCATGTTATCGGATGAAGTATCGGGAAGCTCCCCTACCATAAATTACACTCAAGTGTCTGTTATGATATTGGCAGTATCTACACGCGTCGGTGTGCTGCTCGGAGTTGCTTAGATAACTGAACTGTTGCAGTTTCTCTAATGGTTTCTTACCTTACTGTCATCAGTCCTTATGTTATGTAAGAAGCAGAGGCTACCCATTGAGTTGCTCCAGTTGACAAGAGCAAGATTCTTTTGGGTGCCGTTAACCTGTCATTCACTCACTGTTACACCATTATTTACATAGTCCATGCCTGCTTCTGGTGATGCAAGTTTACCTGGACCGGTTCGTTCTTGCGGGCGTACGCGTGAGGAGGCGTGTTCATTGGTCAATATTTGGGACGTCAGTAGTTGTTCGATGGTACAAAGGTCCGAGAGAAGGCGCTGACCAATCAGGCGGCGACATCGGGCTTGATTACAACCAATCAGAACACGTTTCTATGCAAACTTCTCGATTGCCTCTTGTTTGTCCAAAGTTCAGTCGGAAACACAGAGTGCACGAACTCTGACACTGGCTGCACACGCTGGCTGTGTGATCATCCTGCTTGTGCTCCTTGCGTACAACTGCACCGAACCGGCACCTTTCCAGGACAGTCCATGAGTTGCAGGTTAGTCATACTTCTCATAGCTGACGAGATGGCTAGTGTGAAGGCGCGAAAATCGGCGATTTTTGAATACGTAGCATTACCCCCCCAGTAACATGGCCGAGGAAAGGGTTTCGCGGGCTTCGACGTTTATATGTAGAAAACGCTGCTGGAAAAGTTGCGAAATTCCTGATTTCGCAATGCACCTATTCTTTGAACTAACTGAAACGCTTTGTTGTATAGAGTCGATCGTTATGGTTTCAACGGTAATATGTGGCTGTCGCCCCCTGGGTGCCTGATCATTTTCCCACGGTAATGTTATCTCATAAACAGACATGAACTTACCGCTCTGTGCCTGTCTGTGTTGTTTGTATAGAAGACGTCACGGACTGTATTGTACCAGGCGCTGAAAATTCGTACCGTTATCGACGTGTAACATGTTACGTGAACTTTGATGGCATATTTTATCAACATAAGGCACTTTTCTTCAGCTAATTTTTGTCAGATGAGGGCGGCGCCACAGTATCGTCTTTGGCTGTCGTCTGGTACTGATTCATCGATAACTGCCTCGGGGTTGACAGAAGCTGGGGAAAACTGTAGCAGTTGTTAGCCCCCCTCCCTTTGTGCCCCGTCTGGTACCGTTATAAGACAATCTTGTTTGTACTGCGGGGATGTTTTATTTTGCATGTTATACGATAACGTCACTATCTTGTGTCATTCTAACGAAAGGGTTTCAGGCTTGAATGGGGGAATGGGATTCCCATGTAACTAGATGCACGGTCTACCCCGACGATATTGATCTAACAGCCGAATCCTGAATTTATGGGGGTTTTGCCATCTGCCGCCTCGCCCAGAGCGTGTCAGCTGTCTGTCTTGTCATTCTGCCATCCTTCCCCCAAGGAAGCCCTGCAACACACTTGGACACCTTTGAAAAATGTAAGGGTGCTTGGCAACACTTGACAGAGATGAACTAGCCTCTCCCTTGTGTGGAAGTGGGCGATACCGGTTACACACAGCTGAGCGTGTGCACAAAGGGGCGGGACCCTGTACCTCTGAGAATTCCCGGATTTCCTCACCGAATCCAATCCATTTCATTAACACCGTGAAAAATGTCAAGCAAAAACAGACACTCCTGAACTAACCTCAGACTACACTCCCTTCGTCCTGGCAGTGGAGGTCTAATTTTGCTTCATTTAACGGTACCTTTTGCAGATCAAAAACATTTGCTTGTGATTATGATTAGGATGACTTGAAATTTAAAAAAAAATTCCACATGATCATAATATGGCAGGAATATTGTAATAAAACAGATTATTTAGTTTAGAGGTTACTGTGTCTTGTTTTCTGTTTGTTTGAATTTCTTTCTCCCCACATTTCATAGCTGTTGATCCAGTTTTACACCATGTATCCCTCCCAGGCCAGTGCTAACACAATAAACTTTGATATACATGGATATATATATAGAGAGAGTTAGTCCTTGACCTTTGACATGGCATGAATGGGAGTCAAGATCAACTTCAATCCAGTAGGATATGCAGAGAATGTTGTAATGTGTCAGTGCTGAACACAAGGCTGGAATTTCCCACTTCTGGTCAGTACCATACCAGCTAAAGTACCTGGGTAAATCATGGTTATGGAAAGCTGTTTAGGCATGGGCAGGTTTGTGCTGATAAATCATGCATATTGTTATTGCTTTCCAATGATGCTTAGATAAGGATATTAAGATTGATGATGCATGAAATGAAAATTAACTGTTTCAATTGATGCACCAGCATTTTCCATGTTTGGTTGTACCAGAGCTGATCAGCCTACTCCAGATCATTTTGGGAGTTGTCCTGGCATTATTGGGTCTGCTGTTAGCTTCAGTGTCAATGAAAAAAGTTGACTATACTGAAAGTACCATACTTTCAATTCAACATTGGCCTTGAAGTTTTTTCATGATGTTCTAGAACAACCAATTTTTTTGTGGGCATTTTGGGTCATTCTGATCAGGGCAGTTTTATTATAGAGTTTATTATAAAAGATTATGGGTGTAAGAGAATGTCGTTGAGATAACTAGTCTGCCCATCACAAAAATGTCTCCATTTCTGACAAAGGTTGGGAATGTCCAATGAAATGATGACAAATGGCATAATGGTAGGTGACATTACCCCACATCCAATCTTGGAAATATTTGGACTTGACGATGACAGCCGAGATATTAGTTTACAGTAACTAATCCTCTGGTTGACCTCCAAGCCTTGTAAGTTAAATATATATCCCATTGATGGTGGATATGATGTTGGCTTGCTGTGCAAGAATTTGATAAACATGTACATAAAAGGTAACACTTCCTTTGAGACTCACGTTAGGCAAAGTGATTGATGCTATTGTTTTTATTGAATGTTCTTGACAATGTATTTAATGTTGTATATTGTTGAGCCTGTCTATGATGATCATCAATTATATCTTCTTAGTACATGCTGAGTTATATGTTGTAGATCATGTTTCTGTCACATCTGGTCAGACTTGCCTAAAATACTATATACACAATCACAGTAGTAACAGCAATTCTGCAGTGGCAATATACCCATAACCATTGGTTTGATATGATGTTAAAACTTCAGTCTATAGTTAATAATGGTGGGCATTGTCTGTTTGTTTTTTATCCTGCCTTCATGGTTGTTATTATCCCTATGGCACCAGTGGGTAGCTCTGTAACTAGTATCAGAAAATCAACAGAGGAAGAATTTGACAAAGATTTCATCATTCTGCAGCAAATCAGTTCATTTAGCCATTTTAAAAAAGTTCTTAAGTAGATTGAAAACACAATTTTGATTCCAAATAGTTGATGATGAAGCCAAATTCCATTCTTATCATTTGATGGATTAAAGTACACTTTGTTACACTATCATGCACATTTACCTCATACCTTTTGTGTTTTATTAAAAAATAAAATATAGATATCTGTCCCTCGTATGGGCATATGGTTGAGGCTCAACATCATGAGTTTGATGAATATTATTCTATTTGTAGCTGATCATATGACCAACCACTACCAGGTTGCCATAAAAAGTTTGTTGGTCTATTTTAGAAGTGATCGGCTCTTGTGTCAAACCCATTTCAGGGAGGGAATTGACATCAGCACACAACAGAGGAGACCTCAGCTCATGGGGCAAAGGTGTGATCCTTCAGGAAATGTAGACTGCTTGAAGGGAAAGGGCACTGTAATCTCTTGAACTGTATTTTCTCATGTAGGGAATGTATACAAACTTCAATCATTACACTGGGGAAAAAGGTTCATGTCTACAAAGGAAGGGTCATACTATTTAGATTAAAATGGTGTCTTGGTACAAACCACGCCACCTGAAAATCACAGTCCTAGCCCAGTAATCTTCATTGATAGTCTAGTTGGAAAATTAATTAGGACATGGATCGGATCTGCTAATGCTGCCAGCTCTCTGGAAACTGCTTGTCGCCACACAAGTTAATTATTCCATACAAATAGCTATTTTATTAATAAGTTGTACATGGATGATCTGCGCAATCTATTTTTCTAAATTATGGATGCAGTGACATTTGGTATTTCAGGCAATAGGGCCATGGAAGATAGCTCAAGTAATTTAGAAGTCAATGATTTTGATAAGTTTAATCATACATGCTCAAAATGATATGTAATGATTGTGTGTAAGCTATATATCTGCTCAACCGT